TATATATAAACATGATGGTTTTTTTTAAGGTGATGTGAGAGAATTGGGTGATATAATTGTAAAAAGTTAGATATTTTGGTGCACCGCATAAATCTTATGTATTTACATATCTAACACATTCATATTTACTTTTATACTACTCAAAATTTTAACATTACATGCATAGATTTATGACACTACGGTGCTATAAATATAAATATCAAATTTTTTATGTTAGATATGTAAAACACATAAGAATTTTATGATATGCATGTAAATTTCTCTAAAAAGTGGGAATAAAGTGCTAAAATAGTCCACCATTAATTATGTAGGTGTCAAAATAGTCCACAATTTTTTTAATTTTGACACTTCTATAAATTTGGAGATTAAAATAATCTGATATAATTATATAAATAACCCGGAACTTGGACACTTATGTAAAAATGTAAATGCCTCTAATTTAAATTTGTTGTCAATTGCGCGTATACGTACTCTATTTTTTTAAAAGAGACAGGTCTGAATTTCTTCTCTGAGAAGCAAAAGTACTCACAATGCTGACATGAAGCTCAAACCGCCGACTGGCCCGTTTTCAGTAAAGCGCGCCGCCGCGCCGGCGGCCAGCACAGGAAGCTCGAGGCCGGAGAGAGCAAAAGGCTCTTGTTCCGGCAGAGCGATGGCCCGTTCTTCCGTCTCACTTTTTTCTTCTTTAATCTTCGATCGTCTTCTCTACTTCCTCCTCTCCCTCACCCCGCTCTTCCAACGTCATTCCCAGGTACTTTTGGCCTCATATTGGATATCTATTCTGACTATAGGGATGTTTGAATTAGGATTGAAATATCGACTTCTTGCATTTGGTTCTGTTCTTACTCTTTGTCGCCTCTAGGGTTTTTGTTTCTATGACTTTGTCGCGGAGGTTTTAAAATTATTCTCTATTTGAGGTATCTGTGTTTCTTTTAGTTATCGCTGGTGGTAGTGTGGCTTTTTTTGCTTCCCGTCCGGAATTGGAATGACAATGCTTAATACGTTACTAAAGTTCTAATTGATTGGAATGAATTGCGTTGACTTTAGAAGTCGTACCTGCATTTTTTTCAGCTTATTTTTGTTAAAATCGATGAAAAAATTGAAATGATTAGAGAATCAAATTTAGGTGATGTGTTCTGCGGCATTTCAATTGCATTCTTGTTCTATATTTTTTCCTTTTTTTTTTCTCTCTGCAAATGTCTTTGACCGTATGATTGATTCTGTTTCTTGTGATTTCAGTTGTTGATAATCAGAATCCTACAATACAACTTTTCCCTTCACTGCATGCTGGGAGTTATTGTGAAAGAGTACGCGTCTCGGGAATGTCGAGGTTGAACTTGAAGAGCTATGCCAGTTCGTTGTATGTGACCGTGAAGGCTGCTGAAGACATGCCGCAAAGGCTTCATGGAAATATCGGCATCTGCTTTCATCGGTAAGAAGCATGCTTTGATTCTATGAAGGGGTTATTTTTTGGTTTTGTTTTTACTGTTTTAATAGATTGATTTTAAAAAAAAAATTTAGTAATGTTTTCTCTTTTCAATTTTTCCTATGCATTTTGGTTGGCAATGCTTTGCAGAAATGCTTCTCTTGGAACATGTGAATGCGGAAATGATGATTGGAAATTTCTTCAGAAGGGTGAATGGAAGTCTGTGATGTCGCCTTATGATACCAGGTTTATAGATGTTAAATCTATGGATAAGATTTCTGGCTCTATAATAGCCTATGTGGAGGAAGGTTTGATTTCTTCATCAATCTATTTTTGGCGATTTTTGCCATGTCTATTTTGATATTTTTGATGGTGTTAGAAAATGTATTAACTATGGCATCTGCAACTCGGGCTTGATGTTTGCTTTTACTTTTGCAGAGTTTCAACTTTGGCGTTTGTTTTTCCTTGGTATTGGCTTTGTTATGCTGATAGCGGCACCAATTGTGAGCAATTGGGTGCCATTTTACTATAGCAGTTCAATGGCTTTAGGTGTTTTGCTTGTCATCTTGCTCATTTTATTCCAGGTACTTCTTTTCTTGAATTAGCAAAGCTTTGCTGTTCTTTCAATTTTGTGGGGCAGGAAAAGGATTAGGCAGGTATCTATTATATTTCCTTTGGGAGTTTATGAAGTATTATTCAATGTCTGACTGGGCAAAATGAGATATCTGATGGATCCTACTTAAATGAAAATTTAGTTGAATTAACAGATTTCTTTATCTTTTTTCTCTGCTTGGCTGTTGACAGCTACTTTAGACTTTTTAAAAAATTGATATCAGATGGGTCTGAATTTGAAAGTTTTGAGATTTTCCTACAACATGATGACATTTAAAAGGGATAAATTTGCCAGTTGATACTTTCATTTTTCTTGCATTTTGCAGAATTGTGTTGTCTTTTAGGTTACATATTGGTTCATGATGATCAAATTTTGATGAATATCAACATTGTTATCAGTCACCAATGTTATTTTTTTTTTAATTTGTAGGGAATGAAGCTACTACCAATGGGCAGGAAGAATATCCTCTATCTTACATTATATGGATCTCTGGTATGGTCATGTCACTGAAGTTTGCCTGTCTTCCATGCTTTGCACTAGATTAGGAGTTTAATTCTTTAATCATTTAGAAACCATCTGTTTTTCTTTGACAGCTTGGAATTGGCTCGTACATAGCACATTATTTCTCCAAAATAGTCAACTCTATTCTTGTGAGCTTTGGGCTAAGTGAAGAGATGCATAATCCAGTAAGTTTCTTAAAGAATTAAGCAAAACATATATTTTCGATGAATGAGCATATCTTTTATTTTGTCTGTTTCTTCCAATGTTAAATATGCCAAATTTCTTTTATCATAATAAGAAAATATTTCTAGCACGTGATTCAAAATTACAAAATCATTTTTGTTTGGTTGGATATCTATATCTCGATCATATAGCATCTTATATCGCTGTTTTCCCTTACTTTGTATGTCATAGCACTTATGATTTATGGATTTTAGTTTCTTTTGTTTGTTCTTATTTATTTATTAACATTTTCTATCATTATTTTAGATTTCAATACAATCTTCAATGTGTTTTTTTGCAGAAATATCATTCTATAGAGTCTTATTGAAATTAATTGGGGATTTTGAACAATGAGCCATTTATTTTTAGATATTTGTTTTCCTTATTCTATATATATAGAAAATGGTCTCCTGACTTTTGTATGTGGCTAATGCAGATCCAGAGTTTTACAATGCTCTAATTTAGTCCGTTGACTATTGGAAATGGTATCATTTGGTCATTCGGGGATTAAATTGAGATCAAATTTTTATTATTGAGGGACTAAATTTAGACTATTTTTGTTCATGATTTTTACATGAGGGATCAATTAAGATAATTTTTAAAAGATGAGGGAATAAAATGAAGCACTGCAAAACTCTGGAATTAACTTGATCACATCAGAATAGTGGGCAGAACTCTGAGATCATTTCAAGATTTATTCTGACAATTTATTTTCGAAAAATTGGCATGAGTTCCTTAATGTTCCTTCAATTTAGTTCAATATTTTTAGTATTATTAAATCTCTAAATTGGTTGATTTTTTCACACATAATTAGATGAATCCTTGTTTGTTGCCTTGGCCTTTTTTCGCTAACTAGAAGATTCACCCAAAGGATTGTGGGAGCCCTTATAAGAATTTATATGCCCCGGGCGGTTATGTTGGGAATTTTATCACTTGACCTTGATTGGTGAAGAGTATATACCCTTACAGAATACAATCCATGGACATTAATTTGCTTCCACTCTGGATACCTATCTTGTTATTTCATCAAGTAACAAGGCATGGTCATCTTACTTTTTGAAATGAAAATGATCGCACATAGGCCTGCCTCGACAATGCACAAGATGTTTCTAGAAAATAAATATATTTCATTTTCTTATGGTGTGTATCCTAAGTGTAAATATATTTCTATATTTTCGATAGTTTTTCTTTTGTCAGTAGTTTTAGAACATTTATGTTCAATGGTATTTGAGGTTGCCTAATTTGATATTTTGCTAATTCAAATATTTGTTTTGGCAAAACAGGGCACTTTTGAGGTTATATATTATGTATAGTTGAAAATTTCATATTTGAAATATTTGTGAACTTGATGATTTCTGATGTTTGGCAAAATTTGATGGCATTGAAGGAACAATATTATTTGAATTTGGCAAAAACCCTGAAGTAAATGATTTATTTTATGGTATAACCTATTTACTTTTAGTATAATATTTATTTCATCATTACATGATAGTACATGATGTTACTAAAGAAATATGCAAAATTAGCTGAATGGAAATACAAAAAAAGATGCGAGCTTATAAAGAAGCAAAATATGTCTCAACAGAAGTACTTTTGATGAGAGAAACATTTTAAAAGCACAAGCTAGCTTTTAGAAGCTGATAGAGGACAATGATATAAGGGTGCTGGGCAATAGAGAGAGACAAGGGTGTGTCTAGGATAAAAAAATAACCTCAACTATAACTTTAATTTAAACCTTCTATATGCTTTTGCTGCATCATACTGGAGGAATTTGGTGGGTCAACAATGAACCATGCCTTGCTTTGCTTGAGCAGAGATGACAAAGATGCTTTAAAGCTCTGGCATTATGGTGGTGGATTCGGTGCTTTGCATTGATTCTAAACCTGCAGTGCGGTGCTTTCCTAGGAGTGTGTTGCTTCTAGCACTCGCAACTATTAGATGATTCATGTTTATTTAATAGCGTAATCTGACAACATTATTTTGTACTTTGTGCCAAGTTGTGCAAATAATTAACATGTTTTGTAAAAGAAGGAACGTTATTGCAAATTTTAGATTGAATTGCAATTTTCACCTCAAAAAATTGAACATTGCATTATTATATGTGAAAATTCTGTTTTGTGTTTGTCGATGACTGGGGATAGATTTTGGCATATTAGAAGAATCGATTAGGTAAAATGATGTAGGGTATTGGCAAAGAGATGGAGGTAACAAAATCATGGAAAATTCCTATGGTTTGAGGAATGGAAAAGGTGAGGGAGGGGAGCAAAATGAACCTAAAATAATTTTATACGGGATGATTGACACAGAGCAGAGCAGCGGAAGTGAAGTTAGTGGTAGTCAGAGAAAAAGATTTGTTAATGAAGCATCCTATGCAAACCTAAGGCACCCTACCTATAAAATAGGGTTCACATTACCGAAAGACTGATACCTGTGAATACTTTTGTGTACTGTAATCATGACACAACTATGATGCTAAAATCAACGAGAACAAATGAACTAACTATGGTATGAAAGCTAAAACAACAATCTATATAAAAATCTACTAAAAATAATGATGTAATCATCAATCAGTCACATAGACCAATGTCCTGTAACTCCATTGATGGTTTGCCATCAATGATCCTATTTTGTATAAACATTGCTTATAAATTGCTTTTATAGCATGTGGAATGAACATTAATAAACATTGCTTATAGATTGATATGGCCACTGCTTTGATTTTTATGCCTCTTTTTTTTTTGTTTCGTTATTCATTGAGATCTTTTTGTATCTTATGATTTTTTTCAACAGGTATCTGTTTTTCTTTTAGTTGGGATAGCTCTTGCAGGAGCAGCCTTGGGGTATTGGATTGTGAGGAAATTTGTTCTTTCAGACGATGGCAAAATACATGCTAGCATAGCTCAATTTGTAAAGTGGGCTATGCGTATTATTGCTATGGTTCTTATATTGCAGGTACTTTTATGATATTTTATTTGTGTAAAATGTTTGTAAAAGTTTATAGTTTTTTACTTTATTTTGTTGCTTCAATAGGAAAACAATTTTTTAATTCCCTCTTCTATTGATATTGGGCCTTGTTTAGCTAACACGGATAAGAGAACAAAATTGTTTCTGAATTGTAAGAGAAAGTCCTTTTTAGGGTAATATTGAAGAAGTATATGATGATTATAGCATTTTTACCCCTTAGAGGCACAAGTTTAGATTTGATTCCATCAGGCCTCAAGTAACTTTCAACTATTTTTCTATTCTAGGTAAAGGATAGATGAATGATTTCGGGTTCTGTTCTCTTAGAAATTGTCAAAATCATCACATTGAACATTCTTGTTGTAGCTTCACAAAGTGGTTATGTTAGGTTTTTTTATTAATCGGAAAATTTCTCAATAAAATTGTTGTAAATTACATGTATTTTGGGAAAAAAAATTCCTGAATCTTTAGCTTTGCTGGATGAATCGGCTAGATATACTGGTGGGCAAACTCATTTTCAACTTAGAAGCTTAAGCCTATAGGTGGGAGCCAACCACTGCACAAACTTATTTTTTCAAGAGTCCAATGTGGGACTAAACCCAAGTCCCATGCCTTCAACATTTGCTTTGGTTTTCCATTCATGTTTATTTTTTCTCCCACCCTTGCATAGAGTGATGTTATGTTTCCAATATTCATTTAGGTGCCTGTATCATAATTTGTGATTAGGATCTCCTCTGTAACCTAGAAGCTAATTTCCTTGAAGAAAAGGTCTTTAAAAATATCTAATTACCATGACTTTCAGCGAATGAACCATTCACCAAAGAAGAACTATACACCACACCATAGTTATACATAAAATGTATATTTCACTTAGTAAAAATGATGGTATTTTTATAGTGATATAAAATAATTGGGTGGTAAAATAGTAGAAGATCGGGCATTTACATGCACCACACAAATCTTCTGTTTTTTCTTATCTAGCACTTAAATATTCATATTTACCTGCATTCCATGCACCACACAAATCTTCTGTTTTTTCTTATCTAGCACTTAAATATTCATATTTACCTGCATACCACTCAAATTTTTAACATCATATCAAGAGTACCACTTTCATTATCTTTTAAGAGTGAAATTCACCTTTTCATTTATATCAAGGGTACCACTTTCATTATCTTTTAAAAGTGAAATTCACCTTTTCATATATAGGTTTATGATACACAGTTGTTATAAATGTAAATATCAAACTTTGTGTGTCAGATATGTAAATACATAAGAATTGTGGTATGCATGTAAAATATCAAATTAGTAGATATGACACTGTTTTAGTCTCAGAGTTTATAGAAGTATCAAAATAATCTCAAAAACTTTTAAATTTTGAATTTAATAGTCCCAATTAAGGACTATTATATCTCAATTTTGAAATAGTTTGGACTATTTTAGCATTCTATAAACGACTAAAATAACCCCATATAAATAGTGGGGTGTCCAGCAATTATTTTGCCAGTTTACAAAAAAAATAAAGTATGTAATAATGTAAATGCCCTAATTTAAAATTCTTGCCATATAGTCAGTAATCGTATAGAACTACCCTTCCACCTACTTTATATGTTTAAACGAGACAGGTATGCCCAATGCTCCCATGAAGCTCAAACTGCCTCCTCACGCACTTTCCGTGAAGCGCTCCGTCTCGCCGATGGCCAGGACATAAAGCTTGAGGCCAGAAAGAGCGAAAGCAGCTTCTTCCAGCAAAGGGATCGCTCGGTTTTCCGTTTCACTCTTATCTTCAATTGTCTTCTCCGCTTCCTCCTCTTTTCCTCCCACTCAAAGTCTTTCCCAGGCAATTTTGGCCACTTATTGGAAATCTATTCTGACTAGCCATGTTTGAATTAGGATTCAAATCTCGGTTTCTTGCATTTGGTTCTGTTTTCACTTTTTGTAGGTTCCAGGTTTTTGTTTCTATAACTTTGTATAGTTTTTTAAATTACTTTCTTTTTGCGATATCTGGGTTTCTTTTAGTTCTCGACGCATTGATAGTGTGGGTTTTTTATTTCCCGGCCAATAGCATTGGGTGTCTGATTGCTTCTGTTTAAATTTATTTCAGATCAGGAAGGAAATTGTTTAAACATTGATGCATTTTGCATTAATTTTTTTCTTTTAACACTTCTCTCTCTCTCTTTTTTTTGGGAAAACTCTGTTGAACCTGCTCTCGATTCTCTTATCTTTGTTTGTTAAAGTTTTTTGAATTCCTGATCACCATTCCCTTCTTTTTCCCACCGATCCATTATCTTTTCTTCTTGACTCTACTGTAAAGAGAGTTGAGGTTAGAAACCAAAGGAGTAAATAGAAAGACCCAAGGTAAAGAAACGGATATCGATACCTTCACCTTGTTTGCAAAAAGTGAGCACTGCATGAATGTGTTTGGTGCATCAATGCCTTTTTTCACCTAAAATTTTATTTCCTTTACGAAGTGTCCTCTTTTAGTGGGGATTTCTCATGAAAATATTACTTTGATATGGATAGAATATTCATACTGAATAGACAATTATATAGGTCACCACTCTACAAATTTGTCTGCTTTTGTAGTGCTCTATGTTTATTACATTCTTATGCTAGCAAATTATGATCATTGTTTCTAACAAAAGTATTTTTTGAAGTTTTTTAATTTATTTATTCTTCATTTGAGAGTTTTCTTCAAAATATTTTGCTTCCATCTTGTCAGAGCTCTCTTGATGCACTTTTATCGCTGGTTGCATTGGGCGCTTGCTGGTCTCTCTGCTCTTTTATTAATTCGATTGAGTTTTCAACTTCCGCAACACCGTGAGCTTCATAACCCCGATCCAACTCTTTCCTGCTTTTACTTGTTCACTTCTTTAACTGTTTTTTTTTTTTTTTTTTTTTTTTTTTCAGGCCAAAATCTCAAATTAAAAGATCTAGTTTGTGGCAACAAAGGACCTGGCAAGTTTCTTCCGGAAGCAATAGGAATGCTGAATTTTTGAATCGTCCAGTTAACAAGGGTTCTGGGGGACCATTGTGGGGAAGTCCAAGTTATCATCACGGCTTTTCGAATTCTCCTGTGAAAGGTACAAACATGCTATAAATTTATGGGGGATTTACTTACCTACCACCCAATTTTTAGTATATTCCATATCTAACTCCCAAAACTTTAATATTACATACATATCAACCAATTCTTCTCCTCTACTACATTGTCCGAACTAACTGTGAAGGCAACCATGGGATTTTGGCTTACAAAGACCTCCAAAACTCCTCTCTTTCTCCTCCTTCAGCCCCACCTCTGGGAAGGCAACGACGAAATCGCCGTGTACAGACCTCAGAAACTCCCTTTTTTCTCCACATTCGGCAACGCTCCTAGGAAGGTAGTGATGGGATCACGGAATACACAAATACCTTTGATACTCCTATCTTTCTCCTCCTTCGACACCGCTATCGCGGTTTTCCATTGACAACAAAATATAATAGTGGTAGGATTGATGAAAGTAGAAAAAAATTGGATGATATCTATGTAATATTAAAATTTTGAGTGTTACATATGAAATATACTAAGAATTGGATTTTTGAGCACTTTACATTTTTGTAGGTATACCACTTGTATCTTTAACATCATATCAAAAAATACCACCATCATTATCTTTTTAGAAGTGAAATACTCCTTTTTGACACTAAGGTGTTTTAAGTGTAATCATCAATCTTTGGGTCTTAGATATGTAAATACATAAGAATTGTGTGGTGTGTTTGCAAATTTCCTTTATTTCATTTTCTGTAGCAAATGTGGAGGTTTTGACATGAAATTCCTTTTTCCAAGGCACTCCAAATCTTAATAATTTTCTTGTGGCCAGTCAATTCTTCCTATATTTTCCTTGTTTTGCCATTATGCCAAAAAAGGAGCTTTTCCTGATACATAGGAATTGAGTGGTATGTATGTATATCTTCCTTCCTTCAATGATTCACGAATCATTTGGTGAACAAATTAATGGCATGATGCCTTCTTTTTGAATCTTTATTGAAAAAAATGTAAATATTCAAACCCCTGCGACGACTTTTCTTGTGTAACCCATTTTTTTCATAATGCAAAAAATTAGGCTCCTTCAACAACATAGAAGCCATCCCACACATTTAAATTTTGATTGTCTTCTATTCTTCCAGGAAAGATGATCTCAACCCCAAGCAAGAGCCCATCCACAAACTCGAGATCCCGGCGCCTCAGCGATGATTTCTACTCCACATTCCACAAAACACCCACGAGAAAATTCTCGAAAATGGAATGGGAGGATTTCACTCGAGAATCAACTAGAGATGCTCTCTCCGACTGGGCCTCGACCCCCGAGGTCGCCAAATGGATCGCCGACAACACTCACCGGATGAAGCTCAGCCATGACAGCAGCTCCGACGACACCATGGAAAGCTCCTCCGGATCGTCAGAAGAAACCGCGGTGGATGATGGTAACCGTCTCAGCCTTTTTAAATGGTCCTTTGCTCTATCAGTTTGATTCTTGATGTTTACTGATTTTTTTGTAATACTTCAATAGCCTTTGGATTACTCTCTTAGTTTTTGGCTTTTATATTTTGCTTTATATAGCTGCTTGAACTGTTAATGTGAAGCGTTATTTGTAATTGTAATTGGTAGTTAAATTAGAGTCAGTGGGTTATAAATAGATGATGTGTCATTAACAGTTTTGTTATACTGGAGTTCTCTTGTGAGATTATGAGAATACTACTCAATTTCTATGTATTTACATTTCTAACATTTAACTTTTGATTTTTTTCACATTTGTAACCTTGTAAGTTTGCATGAAAATGTTTCGCTTGTAATAGTTAGTTATAGTGGTATTTTGATGCGATTATTAAATATTTGAGTAATATAAATAACAAAAATCAAAACTCTACTGTTATATATATATATATATATATATATATATATTATTTATATATATAAGTTTCGGTTATCAGGTTGTTTTACATAAAAATATATTTCTTTTTTATATAAAAATTTAAAAAAATGGTGGAAAAAATAATCTTTGACAAGATGCATTTAATTTTTTTAAGATGTATTTCATAATTTATTTGAAAAAGATCAACGTTGCCAAGAAACGAAAAAAAAAACTTCTATTTTTACCAATTTGGTTTACATATGCAATATCTAAATTTTTATTTATATATTTTTACTATTTTACTAATGCATAAAAAGGCTTTTCTTATATTTAAAAAGTTAATAAAAGTGATATTTTTATTATCATATAAATGATTTTAAGGATTCGGCTGTTAAAAACATAAAAATTAGAATTTAGGTGGTGAGAAAATATTTCATCAGGACTCCTAACGCAATTTGCATTCAAAGTCTAATGGTGGGGCGTCGCATGTCAAGTGGGTCTCACCGTAATATATTGATATTGATTAGTGTTAAAAATGATGAAGCTCACTTGACACGTGATACCACACCATTGGACTCTGAATGCATAATAACTCCTGTTGTAATATTTTTTCCTTAGTGGTAGATATATAAATAAATAATTAATAATATGGTAGCATTCACATGCCCCTAAAGATATTGAAAGACAAATAGATAACTTCCATCATTCAAATTCAGCAAAGATTCTCTCACAAGAAATTTATAGTTTCTCTCTGATCAAAAAAAAAAAAAAACAAAAAACAAAATCCAATATAAAAGGTTGCATAACCTTCAACAACTAACTTCTACCTAATTTATCTCACGCTCAAAATTAAAAATTACAATAATTTTTATAATTAAAAACAACAGTATATTCAACTTCAATTTAATCAGAATAAATTTAATAATAGCTATTTATGCATATATTTATTTACGTACATATCACACAATTCTTACCTACTTAATACCAAAAATTTCACATTTACACACATACCCCTCAGATCTTTAATATTACATCATCATAGCTATTTATGCATATATTTAAATATTATTTAGTGACTTAATTTGGACCAGCTTAAACTTGGATTAGAAACATTTTCGCATCAACAAGTTTGTCTTGTCGAGACGATCAGTTTGACTATAAATTTACAGGAAATCGAGACTTTAAATGATCTTTAATTTAAATATCGAACATTTCTTGCACAAAAATGTCATGAGATTCATGTCGAAAGATAAAATTTTATGATGATGCATCAAGCAACTATTTTAACTTTTAAAATATAAAATATAAAATTTAATTCATATTTAAGATGGCATGTATGAAAACATTGAAATTTAGATGTTAGATTTGTAAATAAATAAGAATTGAGAAAAATCAAACGTAGATATTCTTACTCAATTGTTTTCTTATTAAATTAAATCTGATATGAACGTTGGATTCACGTTTCAATGGATTTATGGCCCACCACATTCAGCCAATTCTAATAATTATGTAATAGGTGTTGATGCCCCATACTCTTCTTCTTATGATGTAAGGAGATGAAAATGAGAGCCCAATTAAAAAATAAAAATAATTTCACCCATCAAAATAAAAATAAATTTTCCAACAAACATAACCAACAATTTGTTTGGAACTATTTTCTGGCTACTTTGTGCTCTATGTTCCGTTTGGGGCAGTGTTGCGGCACTGCACCACCATTTTATCTATTTCAGTAAACTGCATTTTGACATCTTTTTCAAAAAACTGTAGCTGGAATTTGTGTTTTCCCACCAGTTTAGGCTAGGCGCGGTGGCGGCTTTCTAAATATCATCTGACTTAAAAAAAAAATTTTGTTATAGTCACCGCAGCTTTTTGAACATTAGATTATTATTCAGCAGCTTCACAGCTGATTTTTAATAAGTTGAGCTGCCCCAAACAAAATTTTAGAGTTCCATCACTTTCAGTTTGAAGAACTCACCACAATTTTTTAAGAAGTTATTTTCTCTGCCACAACTTTACCACAATCTTTTTAAAAAGTTGCAGCACCCCAAACAGACCCTTAATGTACTCAAAGCTTGAAATCATTAAGAAAAAAAAAACTTAACAAAACTACGTGTGCATGAATTTAGTGAAATAAAAAAATACATACATATAGATTTTTCATATTGATATTATTGGAGTCTGATTTCTCCGTGAATTCATACCATGAATCGATCCATAAAACAAAAAAAGAAAAAGAAGAGACCATTGTACGAATAAATGGTTAGATAAGGCGTATTAGTATTAATTATTGTTCGCTCCTCTCTCTCTCTATTTGTCTCTCATTTCTTAAGCTCTATTCTTTGGGATATGATTCACGGACAAATCAAAATTCAACAAGAACGCTCAAACTTTTAAATGATTGACGATGCAAGATGTCATTTATTCTAAGATGGTGACTTCCCATCATTCTCCTCTAAACAAGTGGGAGACAATTTATTTCCATCTCATTAATAATTATATTGATATTTGTTATGTGATATTAGATATTTAAAAGGCTATGAAGGTAAATAAGAAATATGTAAATACTTAATAGTTGTGTGTCTTGATTTCTTAAAGGAGAAATTACATAAATACCCACAATTCTAATGTATTTATATATTTAACGCCCAAAAATTTAATATTTATACTTTAACCCTTTGGTGTTATAAGCCTGAGCAAGAAAATATGTATTTTATTTTAAAAATATAATAATGGAAGTATTTGAGTGATATGCATGTAAATACGAATGTTTAGGGGATAGAAATGTAAATACAGAGAAGTGAGTGGTATGCATGGAAATGTCCCTAAATATTATTTTAAGAAAAATTTGCCTCACAGGCTGACAGCAACTTTGATATTCTAGTGGAATTTTGTTAAATTATAGCTGATTTGAGGATTTATATGTAATTATAGTTGTACAAAATTAGAGGTGTAAATCAGCTGAGTCGACTCGTTTGAAATTTTATTCACTCGGAATAGACTCGTGTTTGAAATGACTCATGAATAACTTATTTTTATTTGGCTCTATTTAAATTTATTTACTGATTTCTATTCATGTTCCATTCAAAATTAGTTTAAATTATTTAAAATGAAAAATATTTAATATATATTTTTAAATAAAATATAAAAATATTATTTATAAAAATTGAAATACATATTTATGATTTATACATAGATGAGGTGATGTACGTAAAAATTAAAAAAATAAATATTAGATATGTAAATACAAAAGAATTTAAGTGTTTTGTAATTAAATCCTTAAAAAATTATATATTTAGATATCCAACCCCTAAACTTTGAACTTTACATTCATGTCACATTATCTATACATGTAAGAAAATATTTTATTTCTTTTAAAGTTCATGCTAATGATAATTTTGATTTGGTATGGAAGATTTATGTAAATAAAATAAAAATAAAAAATAAAAGCTTAGTTGTTGGTATGTATGTAAATACTCCAATGAATAAATACATAATTATATATTTAATACATAATAAATACATAATAAATACATAATCGCGTACTCTATCATCCTAACAATATAATGTCAACATAATCTCCAATTTGTAAAAACAATTCACGAATATTTTATTATTGAGCTTAAATAGTTCTTCACGAGGACTATTACAATCTCAATTCAAAGTATTTAGGGATTATTTTGACCCAAATAGGGGTGTAAACAAGCTGAACATGAACGAGCCCATACTCAGCTAGTGTTCGACTTGTTATAAAAATATCACTATTCATATTCGACTCGTTTATATTTCGAACACGAGGTTAAGAGCTGGGACCGTCAAACTTTATAAAATTACATAATAAAGGCAAATTTTGCATATTCTCCCCCCGGGATATTCTTCCTTTGTCATATACATCGCTATAAAGTCCTAAGCGTCCCCTGCCTCCTACTGTTTGAAAAAGCAGATTTGCTTCTGTTGCTTTCTTGCAGGGAATACAGAGCCGAGCCATCTTCTTTCTGGGGAATGGGGGTTAACGAGTTGGGGAAGGAGCGGCGATGGGGGATTCGGAGCTTGCTGAGGAGGAAGAAAGTGGATTCCGATCAGGTGAAGAGGCGGGAGGGTGGTCAGCTGCTGGCCAAAGAGCTCTCTGTCCTTCAGCTCGTTGCGATAGGTATTGAGAGTTTTGAATGGTTTGCTGTGCCCGGATATTGCTGATTGGTTGATGTTTTGTGAATTCAGATGGAGATTACACTGCAGCAGCATTTGTTTTGGTAGTGGTAATGATAGATTTTTGTATGAAAGATGCGCGGTTTTTGCTGTTATTTTTGTTTTGTTGTTGAAATTAGGTTTAGGATAGGTAGTGAAGGTTGGAGAGGTGGGTTGTGGAGTAATTAGAGCTTTGTTGATACTTTGTAAGTATGTGCGGACGACGTCATCATAATTTCACTTAGATGTGCCGTGATCTTCCCATCCACCGTTATCCGCAGAGTTATAAAGTATGTAATATTTTCTCTTTTAGTTGAGATCATGTAGAGTAGTAATCACATGGCATGGACTTTAAATACTAGAAGATGTAGATTAGGGATAGAGGATTGAGATCTCTTGAACAAGAAGACAATAAGACGAATGCCCATTTGAAAAGGAAAATTATCTTCTCAATGTATTGCAGAGGATTGTCATCAATGGCATGACGAGAGCTCTATTAGACATGCATAAGAAGAGTTCAAAAATGAACATGATATATCTAATGAGAAAGTTTTTGTTCTCAAAATGATGAAAGATGCTTCAATCGAGCACATATCAATGAATTCAAAATGATCACAATGTTTCTTTCTTTTGATGTCCGGTTCTATTTTGGTTTCATAACATGCTCACCTTGCTACAAACCTTTTTGTTATATGTATATATCCTGCATTTTTTCAGTTGTATTCCTGCCTTGCCAACCTTTGCTATTTTAAAATGGAATGCTTCTACTATTCCTCTCATAATTTATTCTGTTTCCAGGTGTTGGTTCAACAATAGGTGCAGGTGTCTATGTTCTAGTTGGAACTGTGGCTAGGGAGCACTCGGGTCCGTCCTTGGTCATTTCCTTTCTGATTGCTGGTGTTGCTGCTGCACTATCAGCATTTTGTTATGCGGAGCTTGCAAGCCGTTGCCCTTCTGCAGGCAGCGCGTATCACTATTCATACATTTGTGTTGGGGAGGGGTAATGTGAAATTGTTTTTGATTTTTACTTGTTTTCTTTAAATTTAACACTAAAGGTAAGGTGTGTTCTGGTAAGAAAAGATGGTCATTCAATAATATTACGCCGGATTCTTTTGTAAAACTATTGCATTATTTTTCTCTCAAGGGCTTTAATTCTCATTCTTAATCCCAGAGTTGCATGGCTGATTGGTTGGGCTCTGATCCTTGAATATACTATCGGCGGGGGGGGGGGGGCGCGGGATTTCTCCGAATTTGGTATTGTATTGCATCTTTACATCAAGTTTTGTGGCACTTTGACTTACGCATTTACTAATTTGTAGTACTTTGAATTGTTCTTTTGGAGAGAAATCTATTGGCAGTGTTTGGTAGTATTAATAGGATTTAGCAATGGGGAGCTCCTCTGCTGCACACTAGATTTGATAAATCCGGACTTATCGAATTTGATAAATCCTATTTAACGTAAATCTAAGTTCCAACCAAACACTGCCTTTATCGATCATCCCTTAAAAGCAAAGTATATTTTGTCCTAGGCCTTATTTTTTGGAGGACCCGGTAGTTTGCCTTCTTTCCTGGCTCGAGTTTACTTGCCATGGCTTGATGTGGTTGTCGATCCATGCGCTTCAGTTCTTGTCCTGATTGTCACTGGTCTTCTTTGCGTGGGAATAAAAGAGGTGCTTAATAATGTTACATACAAACGACCTATTCTTATGTATTTAGAAATATAACTCCTAAACTTTGATTTCTAGATTTATGCCACACAAATCATTCATATCACATAAAAAATACACATTTTCATGCATAGGTAAGGTGGCATATATTTACCAATTACAGTTTAGGTGTTAGATGTGTAAATTCATAAGAATTGAATGGTATGCATGTAAATCTTCCTTCTACTTATTGTCTAGCTGATTGTATCTACGACTTAATGCAATCTGGATCAACTATTCCTGCAGAGCACGTTTGTGCAAGCCATCATTACTTCATTGAATGTCTGTGTTATGCTATTTGTAATCATAGCTGGTGGATATATTGGATTCAAGTCAGGATGGGTTGGATATAGTGTTGCAGGCGGGTAATTTGTGATTTCTAAATTCCATTCTGACGTAAATTTCAGCATTTTTTACCTGATCATTCACCCTCCCCATTTTCTGCTTTAAATCATCTTGTAGATTCTTCCCCTATGGAGTTAATGGCATGCTTGCTGGCTCAGCAACAGTTTTCTTTGCATATATTGGCTTTGATTCAGTTGCAAGCACAGCTGAGGAGGTATAACACTTATGTATTTACATATCTCACTCCTAAACTTTCATATTTACACAAAAATTTAATACCACGTCAAAAACAGCACTATTACCAACAACAACAACAACAACACGTGGGGCCGGCTACATGAATCCTTTTTCTCCATTGCGTCCTATTTAGTGTCATATTTTCATTTAGTTCTAATAAATTAAGATTATTTTTTATACAATAAGCCCAAGTCATCCTAGGTCTACCTCTTTTCAAAATGAAATACACCTTTTCATGCATGAGTGTAAAGTGTCAAAGTACCATGTCTGCAAATATGAAAACTTATATGTGAGATTTGTAAAATACTTATTTATTTTTTAATGTGTGAAAATTCTTGCCTCATTTTCACTTGCTTGATTTATATTATACCCGTGCAGGTGAAAAACCCGCAGCGCGACTTACCATTGGGGATAGCAACAGCTCTATCAATATGCTGCTTCTTGTATATGATGGTTTCAGCTGTTGTTGTTGGCCTCGTGCCGTATTTTGCCATGGATCCGGACACTCCAATTTCATCTGCTTTTGCCAGACATGGGATGCGTTGGGCAATGTAAATATTCAAGATTTCGGTTTAAGTAGTGTTGCATATTAATTTGCATCAATTTTAGAATTTATATTTTTGGCCTTTATATTTCTTTAAACTCTAGGTATGTTGTCACTGCTGGGGCTGTGCTTGCTCTTTGCTCAACTTTGATGGGATCAATTCTTCCACAGGTATCTTTAGTTATTTCCTTTGCACAGCTTTCACAAAATCTTGAATGTTTTCGCAAATTAAATTAAAATTCTTCACCTTTTCTGAGGGAGTCAATTAGCTTGGCTGTGATGGGCAAAAAGCAAAATTTAAAGCTAAAAATCATGTTTTTTCTGCCTGCATTTCAGCCAAGAATACTGATGGCAATGGCGAGAGATGGACTATTGCCATCATTCTTTTCAGATGTGAATAAAAGAACTCAAGTTCCTGTCAAGAGCACCATTGTGACCGGGATCGGTTCAGCTGTGCTTGCTTTTTTCATGGATGTTTCCCAGTTAGCAGGAATGGTATGGCGTTTCATTCATTTTGTATGAAGAAAAGTGTCAAAATAGTCCTCTAATTTTTTGCAGCGTCATTTTTGTCCCAAAGTCTATAAAAATTACCAAGTTAGTCTCGAAATTCTCTTATTATGAGCTGAAATAGTCCCCCTAAAGAGGAATATTTTGGTACACGTCAAAGTCGGCACGTTTTTCCATAGAGATTTGGGCAAACATAATTTTTCTTCAATAATTCAAACAACTCAATGCATAAGCCTAGTTCTAAACATAATAAGTCCATTTATACCCAATAAATAATAATATTATTATTAAAAGACTAAATTGCCCTTAGGCGCCATCGTAACATATTTTAAAGAGTCTGGAGACTAAAATGTTCCCATGCAAACAGTCAGAGAACTATTTTGACATGTTGCTCGTATTTATTCTACGAAAAATCAGAATTTCAATGCAGAAAACTGAATCACTGCTGTGCTGATATATTCAGGTTAGTGTTGGAACACTTCTTGCCTTCACCATGGTTGCAATTTCAATTCTAATACTTAGATATGTTCCACCAAATGAGCTGCCACTTCCATCATCCTTCCGAGAATCAATCGAATCTTTACGACACAGTAATCAAGAGGAGGAGGATCCAAATGATCCTCTTCGAATAAACGACAACAAAAGCAAGGGAAGCGCCGCACAAGATGGAACCTCAAGAGATTCTCCTCTTATCATTAAGAACACTGATGAAGGCAATGATTTTAGATATCTTTAACAGTCAGTTTCTCTTCATCTTTGGGGCATTTACATACATACCCCTGAATTCCTATGCATTTACACATCTAACATCCAAATTTCGCTTTTTTACGTTTCATATCACATAAAAAACACTATCATTCATAGGTACAGTGGTATGTTTGTAAAAGATATTTGCTGCTCTGAAAATTTTATTGCAGGTTTAGTAATGTCTATTTTATTTATTTTTAATGGTGCAGAAAAATTGAATGAACAAAAGAGACGCAGATATGCTGCATGGAGTATAGGATTTGTATGCATTGGGGTTCTTATCCTTACTTCATCAGCTTCAGCATTCTCATTGCCTGAGTAAGTGTTGCTGATAAAGTAAATGCAGCAAAAGATTTACATACATGCCACTCAATTCCTATGTATTTACATATCTAACACCTAAACTTTCATTTTTTATATATATGCCACGTTATTCATGCATTAAAAGGTGTACTCACTTTTTCAAAGGCAAGGAAATAGTATTTTTTTGTGACATGAAAAATTTGGGCGGTATAATTGCAAAAAGCAATGTTTAGGCGTTTGATATGTAATTACTCATGTTGTGGTATGTATGTAAATGGCCCTAAATTAAATTTGGTTAGCTGCCCAGTACTCTTTTTTTTTTTTATGCCATATATGCCCTGCAACCGATAAATAGCAATTTCAAAAATTATATATATATATGTAGTATTTTAAAAAAAATCTAATTGAATACAAGGCTACAAAGATTAATTAATTAAAATATGGATTGAGAAAATAGAATAAAAATTATTAAATTAGATTCAAATGATGTTTTAATATAAATAATAATTTTTAAATCTTGCTCAAACCTTTATTGTCTTATGGCTACATGATTAGGGTTGTTAAAAGGACTCTTTGTTCGTGAACAGCTTGTGTTCGGCTCGTTAAGTAAACGAGCCAAACACGAACACACTTTTTGAGCTCGAAATATAAATGTCGCTCGTGTTCGGCTCATTTACACCCCTATTTAGGATAAGAAAAATAATGAAATCTTATTTTCTAACAATCTTTTTTTTTTTAGGTGCTTGCGCTATATGATATGTTCATTTGGAGGCTTGCTCTTTGTGGCTGGCCTGGCTTCACTCTCTTGGATTGGCCAAGATGATGGCCGCCATAGCTTCGGACATTCGGGAGGTAACAAAAACAGTATCATCAGCCATTTCAAACCTTTTAAATAGACCGCACATCCAGATGATGGTCCGGATGAACTCTGTCTGTACATGCGGTTAATATTTTCTTCTTAAATCCACTTTCTCAGCTTCGTTTTAGCTTATCTCCAACTGTCTTTCTCCAGGTTTCATTTGCCCCTTTGTTCCTGTCCTCCCTGTCTTCTGCATTCTCATAAACTCATATTTGCTCATCAATCTTGGGTGAGTTCGTAGCTTTATTCAAAAAAGGAAAAATAAAGGAAATTATTTTCTTACTTATATATTTTGAATGATCTATGCTTCGTAGTGCTTCCACGTGGCTTCGTGTTTCGATTTGGTTGGTGATTGGTGTTATTGTCTACGAGTTTTATGGTCGATTGAATAGCTCGTTGACCGATGTTTTTTACGTCTCAATTGAAGAAGCCAATGAGATCTACAAGTCTTCAAATCAGTTTGTTGCATAGACTCAAAATCAGGTTTTAATTTCATCAGCTGATTGCTATAAGACAGAGTTTATAGCGAAGTCTACAATTCTTAGTTTATTATTAAACTACAGCTGTACTAAACAGACCCTAAATTATTAAATTTTTTACTGTTATGAATGTATATATAAAAGTTCGATGTTAAAAGTGTAAATTGAAAGAATTTGTGTTCATACGTAAGCGGCCATAAGAGATGAGTGTTTTTTTTGAATAATTATATTAATTAGTCTAATATGAGATTAGTATTGAATTTTGATTTATTATCATAAATTTGAGGTTAATAGTATTTTGCTTTGGTGTTTAAATTAAGGCTGTAAACGAGCCGAGCTTGAGCAAGCTCAGGCTTGGCTCGTGTTCGGCTCGTTTGAAATAGCTCATGTTCGAAATCAGCTCGTGTTCAAAATTGGCTCGTAAATAGTATATTTGTGTTTGGCTCGATTTAAATATTCGTGTTCGTGTTCGGCTTGTGTTAGGATCGAAATTAGCTCGTTAAAATTAAATTGAAAAAAATAGATATGAAGTGTGGAATTCGAATCTTGTCTAAATATATGCAAAATAAGATATTAACTACATTACCACATAAGATGTTATGATTTAAACTTAGATATAAATATATATAATATATTATTATATAAATAATATATGTAATATATTATTATATAAACAATTATATAATTTTTTTTTTCGAACTAAAACGAGCCGAACACAAGCAAACAAAGAATTGTTCGTGTTCGGCTCGTTTATAATTCAAGCTTTAAAAACTTGTTCGTGTTCGGTTCATTTATACCTAACGAAAGAGCCGAACATGAGCTGTTCGCAAACGAGCTTTTTTGACAGCCCTAGTTTAAATAATACCCTAGTTTAAATAATATATATAGGACAAATTAATTTGTTTTAAAAAAATTAAATTAAACTTCATATTTATAATTATAATTGAGATTTAAATGTTAGATATGTAAATACATGGGAATTGCATGTAAATCTTCCAAAAATTAAATCTTAAATAAATATATCACTCATTAAAAAAAAAAAGCAGATGCTGAATGCCAAAATTGAGACGTTGCAAGGACTGACAACACTGCATTAAAATTCGCACATAATATTCGTCATTTTTCCTCTCCAAAATCACTAATCGCAATAGAAATTATTGCAAAATAAAACCGAAATTTACAAATCACATTTCTGCAAAGAAAGAAAAACAAAATAAAAAAGAATGATACAGTCGGAAATATGTAGCAGAAGGATTTCTAGTAGATGTTTTGGCAGGCAGTTTGCAACAATCCTCATCGATCGGCTGCATTTTCAAATCATCAATAGTCAACATCTTTACTCAAAACCCTAAACGAAAAAAAAAAAAATCTAATTATCTAATTTAAGCTTTATATGTTGGTGCAAGTTCTATGAAAATATTTGCAGGAAATAATAACGCGAGCTTCAGTATGATATGCAGGTGGCTATTAAGTTGCCATTTATCTAATGCCTACTGAGTTCACACTCAACATTTAAGTTGCCGCCATCTCGAAGATTGTTGAATGATATGTATGCGACTAATGAGGACTTTCAAAAGATTTGAGCTCATTGTTAAGATAACCATATAAATAGTATTCACAATATCAGATAGTTATATATTCCCACCAATTCTTCCCCTACTTCCAGCCGCCAGCCACCACCGATCCTTCCACTGCTTCCAGTCGTCAGCCACCCAATCCTCCTCTTCCCTGTTTCTAGGCGCCGAACCCCTCCTTCCTGCTGCAGCTGCAACTCACCTGCAGCGACTCTATGTGCCGCACTCCCCTACCTACTTCCTTGTTGAACCACAGACCCCCACGAGTACAACATCCTACTGCACCTATCTCTACCCTAGCCGTCGTCCACAATTAGTCCTCTCCGGCTCTAGCAGCTTATTATTCTTCGTTGTGTTTTCTTGTTTTGTTTGAAACTTGATTGTAACCTCGTTGGTTTGAATAATGAAATTCAAATTTCCTTTTGGATCTCTACTAAACCATCATATCAGTTCTTAGAAGAGTACTCAATGAAGCTTATTTAGCACGAATGACATACAGTGAAATGAGAAGAGACATTTAATCAGAGAAGCGACTTTCTCATGGTTAAAAAGAGCTTCTGGCCTACTTGGACACGGGACGTGGAGACACATGTCAGACAATGCATGGTATGTCACTTGGCTAAAATCCAGGAGCATAATATAAGTCTCTACACTCTTTTTTCCGTTCTAAAGTTACTTTGGGTGGATGTGAGCATGACCTTAATTGTGGGTCTTCCCTAAACAATGAAACAAGAATTCTATTAGGTTGATGATAGACACTTACATATTTCATAACCTACCAAAAGGCGATTCTTCACGCATGGTCGATCACAGATTTAGAAATATTCTTTAAGAACAAGTTGAGCATCCTTGACGCGGCGCTTAGGTTGAATCGGTAGGTTCAACAAGTGGGGTGCATGTCCAGCAGGGAATCCAGATTGAGAGTAGCACCGACATTGAGACCAAGGTAAAAGAGATCCAAATCTTACACGAGGAAGTGAGAATAAAATGACGAGGTAGAATGTCAACTATCAAAAGCAAACTGGTAAGTTTAAGAAAGCCATAGGTTTTAAGGAATGTGGCTAGTTGTGGATTATATTGAATGAGCCATTTCCTATTGGCTTATTTGTGAAGTTCAAACCAACAACTGATGATCTATTCAGCGTTATCAATAGAATAAATGAAAATGCTTACAAGATTGATATATCTAATGATTACAATATTTTTGTTATATTAAATATTGCTGATTTATCATCCAACTACGAGGATCTAATGCTTCTAACGATAAATGTGAGCCCTACCTACCAAGAATTAATGATTCAAACGTGCTTGCAAGGGCAGAACACTAGACAAAATCTGCCTAGGTTGCTTCAAATGCCTGGCCGATTTAAATTTCCCACCCACACAGCCATATAGCCCAGCCCCCTACGCTCCTATTTACCATTCTTTTATTAGAATTAGTGTTATTTTTTGTTTCGTTAGTATAAATACTTTGCTTAAAATCTATTATTGGACTTTGGTTTTTTTTTATTTTTGCAATTTAGAGTATTGTTCTCTATTTTCTCTTTAATTGGAGAGAAGTAAACCTTTTATCTTTCACATGGTGTGACTGCAGCTTGATCGGGTGGGTACAATCGGTGGATCCTCCTCATCTTCTGTACATCTCTTTTCTACTAATGTCAGCTTCTTTTCTTCCCTGCAATTTTCCAACAGCAGCCATTCGTCCTATTACACCTTCAAATTCAATTGTTTTCAAGTTCGTCTCCCTTCACTATCCAACACCGTCATCCCTATTCCTTCATTGATCCTTACAAAATCTAAAAAATTCTAGGTTGGTATCATTTGGAGCCAATTGGAAGAATAGGACTACTAAACCTGAACCATCCAGGGAGACCAGAAGATGAAAGTCACCAATATATTGTAGAGATCAAGACATAAAAAGTCATTATCTTTACAAATACAATAATAATATTCAGTTCAGTATACTCAGGACACTCATAAAGGTTTGATCAAGAAATAACGTCTAAACAGATTGTGCCAAAGCAAAAAATGTAGCCATAACCCTTTAAAAAGAGAGTTAAAATGTAAAAGACAATCAAGAATCAGGCTATAAACATGGCACAATAAAGAGAAACATCGATCAACCCTCAAATAGAAGGCCGAAAAATGTGTTCAAAGTAGTGGTTGTCTCGCTGGATGACATTGATGATAACTTACCGCACATATATGTAAAATGATGTTTATATTTGTAGCTGTCGGGACTAAAAATTATGAGGTTATAAGGGAATGAAAAAACAAAAAAGAAAGAACTCAATTGACATGCACTTCTATCATGTGATGGAAAAAGAGACATCAACAAAGAAAATTTTTCAGCACAAATACCCCAACTGATAGATAACAACAATTCCTAAAAAAAGCAAATGCCATATTAAAAATGCTCATAACTTTATCATTAGCAAACTAACAAAATTTATAGATAGATAGGATTTAAATAGTTTGATTGCAAAGTCGGAAGGTAAAATTGTTGGCTCCAAAATGTGGTTGGGCTTCCAAAAAGCTAGAATTACTTAGAAGTCTCCCATCTTGTTAAGAAGCTTAAGAGAAAGGGAGATGTTTACATACACTTCATAGAAGGCAAAAAAGCTCCTATCTTGCTTCAGCTCTAGAGAAAGTGGAAAACGATTGACAATGCATTACCGTTATGTAATATTAATATCTCAATGGAGAAAGAATCGAAATATCAAATTATGACAAAGCTAGTTCTGAAGATGGTGGTCACCTTAGATGATTATCCTTAGTTATAACAAGTGATGGCACATCCCCAACCCAATCAATTCTGAACATTCTGAAAGACTAGGGGTCAAGATATTTGATGAAATGGGCTGCATACCTCAAAAATTATAAGCTCCAACACATTCCAAAAGCCACGATAAGAACCAGGTCATCACAGAATTTATGTTGATCTCTGTCACTCAACAGGACCAGATAGGTCGCTGCTCCTACCGTTAAAATTGTTTTATCAAATGCATGAGTGCTAGGTAGAAAAAACCAAATGCTATAGTCCTACACATGTGAATAATGAGAATAAGGAATATTCCTTTCCAAACCTATTTTCCTACATAGTATCAGAGCCATAATTAACATCTTATCTCCCTCTTGCCGGTTGACCATCTCCTAAACCGGTTCCAGAAGCATTCTCTACCAAACTCCTTTGACAGAAGCCGTGAACTCCAGAAACTCCATTGCCTGAGCCGGAACTCCTATGCCAGAGCCCAAATCCCTCTGCCAAAGCCGCAACTCCTCAGCCAAATCCGAAACTTACCCTGCAGGCCTCTACCCGCTCCCTTATGTTTCCTCCACCGCCAGAACACTTGCTTGTAGCAGGAATTTCCTAACGCAGGCCCTCCTACAGCCGGAGCTATCACTGTAGAATTCTTCTGCATTCCTCTGCCGACTCAATTCCCTCCGCAGACCCTCCTCCGGCCGGAGCTATCACTGTAGAATTCTTCTACATTCCTCTTCCGTCTGAATTCCCTACTGCAAACCCATGTCTGCCGCTGGAACTTGTCCCGGCAGTTGTCAAACGCTAGAATCTAGATCACCAGCCTCAACAGACCTTCCTGCAAGCCCGACTCTGTGAGACCTTCCTCTCTGAAAATCACTAGACTATCCAGATAGCCTTCCTGAAGCAACAGCAAGCAGAAGCAGTAACAACACTGGCAGCAAGCAGCTAAAGACAACTCTCTCCGGTGCAGTAAACTAGAAACAACCCTATATACTTGTTAAGTCGATAACCAAGTACAGAATGTGGACGTGATAATCTACTCTAGAGGTTAACTTGGAATCAGAGACTGTAAATTTTGTTCAGATAGCACAATTCTTGAGAACACTAACCCCAACCACCACACATGAAAGAATCACGACCATATGGTTATGTCTTGGCAAGTCAACTCAATGACCACAGAATTAGGATAATTTTTTTATCTAAAAATCTGCCATAGATACTTGGAAGGCTGCAAGAGAAACATATTCCAACATTGAGAACAGTGCAAAGCTGTTTGAGATAGAAACCAAGCTTCACGACCTTCGTAAACGAGAGCAATATCACCTAATACTTCAAAGCCTTAACAAAATATTGACTATAATTGAATATGCTTGAGATGCATGTGTGAAAATATCCAGGTGAAGCCATGATGTATAAATCCATAATCAAGAAGAGAACCATCAAAGTCCTAGTTGGACTAGCTCAGGAATTGGATGACGTAATAGAGAGATCATGGGAACAAATACGTTTCATCTATCTGTGAAGCCTTTGCTAAAAATCAAAAGACAAAATAGCAAGAAGCTAATGCTGACTAGAAATGGGGAATCACCACATACTGAAGCTCGGCCTTGAACACTCATAATTCTTCCTATGACTCGAATCACAATAAGAATCGTTACACCTGTGACTATTGCAAGAAGGTTAGGCATACCAAAGACAAATGTTGGAAACTTCATGAAAGGTCTACTGACTGAAAACCGAGACAATGAAGGAAAAATAACGAGAAAAAAGCTAGTATTGCTACCACATCTAAAGGGTCAGCGAAACCATTCACAATGAATAGTTTGAAGTACTAAAATCTCCTTTGAGGAAATTCAAATCAGCACACCAATCTCGTGACAAACCAAGGTAATATATTCTTCTCTCATCTTATAAATAATGGGAGATTTAAAACTTGGATCATAGATTCAGGAGCCTCTGATCATATGACCGGAGACAGCAATGCTCTAATCAACTATCAAGAGACTTCTATATATAGATTAGTAAGACTCGCCGACAGATCACACTCAAATATTGTTGAGAATGGAGATAGGAAAATTTATCAGGATATTACTCTTCCCTACGTTTTATATATTCCAAAATGTTTACTCGTGATATGAAGTATAAACCTAAATTCCTTACAAACTCTTGGAAATTTTAGGTTGGGTTGGGAAAGGTAATCGGCATTATTGAAATGCATCAAAACCTATCAAAGAAAGCCTCTATAAATACAAAAAATGATCTCGCCTCCATATTTACCCTTCTGAGTTTGTTGAGTCTCTGTCTGCTGAAAATCATGTCATGTTATGACATTGTCGCCTGGGTTATCTTAATTTGAATTATGTAACTAAGTTGTATCCTCATTTGTTCATCAATAAAAAAAATTAATTTTTATCAATTTGAGATTTATCAACTTATCAAACACACAAGAAAAAGTTGTTTTAGTTTTAGGAGGTATCCTAAACGAGTAGGCATAAAGTTGGCCTAAGTTTCCCACAACCGAATAGGCATCCTAAACGATATAGTGCACTTGCAGACGGAAGAAACAGATACGAACGACCAATCATAGTCTCGTGGAATTGATCAGCTATGACATGACTATGAAATTCTCCACTTCCCACGCTCTATACGTTGGGTCAGTTTTAGGAGGTTTACGAATCACCCCTGTGACATGGTGGGATTTCTCGCATCCTTTAACGAACAATGACACGGCTTAGGACCATTGAGAAAATTAGAGGCGTTAAGTTTATGAGTGGTGATCAACAAGTTCAAGTGATTTCTGAGCTTTCGGTTTGCAGAAGGATTGAGATCGGTGTTGATCCTCCGGTGGACTAAAGTACACCGTCGGGAGGAGGCTCAGTAGTAGAGGAGTTCGCCATGATTTTGACTAAGCCAAAGGTGATGTTGGGTTGCCGAGACATAGGAAGATTCTAGCTGCAGAAGGAAGAACTAGCTACAGTGGGTATTACAAGGGATAGATATGGCCTCAGAGAGGATCTCTAGCGATCCTGGAGGGAGACCCATTCGGCTGGAAAAAGGTTCGGCGGATAGAAGGATGCTCAGGATCAAAGATCAGGTCGGCTGGAGAAAACATAGCGAGAAGGTCTGTAGGTGGCCAACGGTGGAAACCCTACAGGGGAAGGCCTGCAGATGGCCAATGGCCAGGGAAGTCATAGCGGCAACTAGGGTGTTAGCTTTTGATAATAAAGCGGGATAGATTTCATTAATAGGGAAAGGGGTATGCATACACATTACACGACTCATATACAAGGAATGACAAATTCAGAAATACATCAAATAGGAAATATATAAATATAGGAACGGAAGTAAATAAAGGCTAATAAATTAAAATAGTATCTGCTAATAAAAATCATATCTAAGAAGGCTAATAATTATAATACTAATCATCATAATAAGAGGACTAAAACTTAAATTAAAGCTGTAACATCAAATTGTCCTGAAACACACCTATAGATTGAGCAATAAGGTCATTTTATATTATTTAGGAAGGTTTACCTACATATCACAATTCTTATCTATTTATATATCTAACACCTATACTTCAATTTTTTACATATATACCACCTGACTTATGCATGAAAGGTATATTTCATTTTAAAAGTTAATATGGCGGCATTTTTGGTGTGATAAGAAAGATTTAGGTGGTATAAATGTTAAAGAAAAACTTTAGGTGTTAGATATTTAAATGCGTAGGAATTAGGTGGTATGAATGTAAATGTCACTATTATTTATCTATGTCAAATCTGATGTGGTGGAACAACAAACGGATGCAAAAACAAAATATCTGAAAATGTAGGGTATTGTCAATAAGAGTCTAAAAGATACAGCAAAGGGAGCACAGCGAAATGCAGCGTGATTGATAACTGCAGGAGTTAAAAAGCTTCTTTACCGATATCTGGTCTTTCAGTTAAGTCTATAACACAAGGTCATCTTCAAGGTAATTGTACTCGAAAGTGAAGTCTGTTTTAATCCGCTGGCACCTGCAAATGACATAATACAAAAGAATAAAGCACCAGAAACATTTATTAGTGTGAAAAGTTAAGGCTCTAATTTAAATCAGCATAGATGCAGCCCTCAACTCAATAAAAATGATTAGCATACAATAACAGGATAACATGGGAGATAGGTTAAAAAAACAGAAAAGTATGACGAGTGCCGGTTATAGAATTCTTAGCAAACATTTATGGTCAGTTCCAGTGATGCCAGCAACTGCAATCCTAAGTATGGCGTTATACATTTGGCGTCTGATTACTATGGAAAATTTGCCAAATAAACACTCCATCCACCAGCACCAAAACAAGCATAAGAAAACTTCTTCGGAAGCGAAGAAAACTTTTATAATTTTAAGGGGAGCTGAGGTGGCGTGTTAGGCAAAACCCTTAGCTTTAGTCTCTTTTGTGTACTGTTCCTCACCAGATATATGTTCTACGTTAATAATGCATCTATTCTAGAAAGAAAATCTATCATGCATTAACAAGGCACAGCCCTTCACATTTTCTCCAAGAATTCTTATAATGCATTTGAATTGTACTAAAAAAGTAAATATGGTCACCATCACGAGCCTTAAATCCAATCATCTAGGGTCCGGCTTCCGATCCATCTCTATTCAGTCCTACAGCCTCCGGAGAATTGCATTTGGTACTCCAGTTTATGCTTTATTTTTACAACTTCTAGCCATGGTGGGACATCGCCCATAAGTGATGAGCCACAATTTAATCAGAATGCTGTGAAAAATTAAAAAAAAAAAAAAAAAAATCTAGTATGTTACCTACACTAACACAACTTGATCCAAGAGAGTAGAAACATGGACAAGTTTTACTAGGCAAAAAGTTCAAATTAGATAGCCATATCAAATTGCGCAACTTTAAATAGGAAGAAATGAGAATCGGAGGATAGAATGATTAGAAGATCAATATTACCAGCATGCAAACAGACAAACTGAGAAGGGGCGAAATCCAGGGAAAATGGCGCGAGATAATTAAAGGGATGGTTAGCAATTTGAATGGTATAGGAATAGATAATTTTTTGAAGCAAGCTAATAATAGTGTTTTTACATTTAATTGATTGTCCATGAGGAGTTTAAAAATTTGGTGAGTTCTTAAACACCTCAAGTTGGATTAAAATAAAATTTGAAGAATGCAACTTTAGAAAGAAATAGCTGTTATAAGAACATGCATCTGAAGAGGAGAGGAGGATTATTAGAGTTAACTTGAATTAATATGCAGGTTCTAGTGGGATGTGATATGCTAGGATTAAAATCATCTAAGAATACGAGATAGAAATGAAACAAGAAAATGTATACTTGATTTAATAAAAGAAAGCAACCTTGCAATTGTAAATGCCTATTAAAAAAATATGAACCTGCAATACTAGGTTCATTGGAACCAACAAGTATCCAATTTCTTATTATATAAAAGCGGGCGAGATGGACTGGAAGCTGAACAAAAAGAGAGAGAATGGACTGGAAGCTGAACAAAAGAGAGAGAATGGATGAGTGGGAAAAAGTCAGAGGAGATGAAGAGCGGAAGAGAGGGGGGGAATGGATGAATTGAGAAATCTAAAGAGGAAATGATTTAACAATCGATTTGGTCAAGTGTTAAGTGCCTATTTGCAGAAAATTCAATCTACAAAAAATAATAATAATAAATGTGTGAGAGAGGAGAGATACATTAAATGAGATAGTAGAAGACAATCAAGTTGGAGCAAAGAGTGATCGAGTGACTAAGCAAGTTGATGACAAACAAGGTTAAAAGCTTTATTTTCAATCAGATTTTATTTAAGATTGTATGCTAACTTCTTCCATTAAAAGTTTGGAAAAACATATTTTAATTTTGATCAACCAAAAAAAAATACAGAAGTTATTTTTACAACATTGGAAAGGCAAAGGATGAAATCCAGGATGCATATAAATAGGAATTTTATGTAGAATGTTATTAAAACCTTTGTTTGCACAAATAAGTAAGACTGATATGTTCAAGGTAAAAGTTGTAACTTAAATAATAACTTTTTAATATTAAAATAAATATAAAGTTTCATAAAACTAGAAATATAATACATCAATTTTTATGCAATGTCAGACAAATTAAAGATTAAAGGTTAGTGACGGCATAATTATTTAATAAAATTAAAGAGTAATTGAAATGATGTACATTTATTTATAATTCAAAGAGAAAAAAAATATGATTATTATAGGAAACTTTTGCAAAACAACGCAAAGTGAATAATTTTTTTTTGAATATATATATACAAGCATATCACATGGCAGGTATTCATTCAGTGCCATACATTGTCCACTATAAAAAAGATATTACTTCTAAAATGACATAATAATGCAAATGTAATGATCGATATATAAATGTTTGCAAGTGCATATTGACTGATGGCAAAAGTTGGAGACAATAAGGCACTCACACGTAAAATATTTATTTAATAGCAAATTTGAATATGGGTATTGCTATTAAAATATCTTAAAAAGTACAATTAGATTGCGCTTTTATTATGGCATTCTTATATAAAAATGAAACAATAAAAATAAATATTATAAGAATCCTTATTCATCCTATTATTTTGCAAATGGATCTTTCAAAATTTCTAGCATTGTCAACTTTAAAAAGGATGAATTATTAAAGAAGTTTTATTGATTCATCTACCATGATTAGCATAAATATTATTTTCTAAACTCATCTATGTTGTGTAAACTAGAGAGATGATTTACCTATTGAGTTGTTTATAACTTGAACTGAATTCTGCAAGGGCAAACACGAGTACACGTCGCACAAATAATATAGTGAATTCGAGTAAGAGATCATTCCCAAAAAAAAAAAGTCAACTATTTAATAAGAAGGTTAATCACTAGCTTTAAACCCTAATTTTTATCCAAAAGTTAGATTTTTCAAAGGTTATTTAAAATATTTTAAAGCAAAAATAACACAAACGTGAGACTTCAGAATTTACAATTTGTATATCCAAAATTTTGAGAAATGTGTTTTCATAATATAAGAGTTGCCATCAATCCGGAACATGAGTAATTTTTAACCTCTCTTGATAGTTAAACCTAATTTTAAAATTTATAAATGCTATATGTCTATGCAAATATAGGATTTAAAATTGATATTTTGCACTTCCCTAAATAACTGCTAAGGTTCAGAGGCAAAATGTTTATTCTTCTAAACCTCAGTTACGATTCTTCCTCGTGTAAATTAAGGCTATGCCGATATCACCAATCCCCACGATATTTTAAAAAAGTGTGGTCATCACTATTATTAAATAAAAATGGAAGAAAAATAAACTAGCATTCTCAGTTCATTGCGTTATGAAGAACAAATCCATCAAAAATTGAAATACAACCCACAAATCCAAAGATAAATTATTTAGCCTAATATGATTAAAGTTCCAACACAAGTAAATTGCTCCATTCAAACCAATAATAAATAAATTTATAATTGAAAATGCAAGAAAAAGTAAAGGAACTAAGGCACTGAAATTTTTGAATGAAATCCAATATCTGCAGTGAAAAGTTTTACAAATCTCTAGACTTGCTTCTTCCTTTTACCCTACACCCACACTTCCTCTATTGAGCTCAGAACATTCTCACTATACAATCAACAAATCCCACACAACACTTCAAACACGCACTCCTAGACTTCCTCCCACTCTTTAACTCTTTAAAAATGCTCTCCCCCTATTTTAAATCCTATCAACACCTTTAATTGCATTCCACCCTAGAATTCCAAAATGAGTGATTGTTTTGGTCGGCTGTAACACTACGGCACTCTAGATGCAACGCTAAGACTCTAGAAGTTTGGCACTAAGGGGCACTCTGTTCTTTATCTTCCGGCTAGTTGTTCTGGTGCCGATAGCATTGCCGCACTCAGTAGGGTAACATTGCAGCGCAATTTTTTGGTGTAGGGTAGCATTACAACGCTCTGTTGATGAATTATTGCTAGAGCAAGGATGCAAACAAATCATCCTTGAGCAAGCTCAAGTGTTGTAGGCTATATTTATGATACAAACATGTTTTTTTTTTTTTTTTTTTTTTTTTTTTTGTGTGGGGTTTGTTAAGTTATCGAGCAAACAACACATGAACATAAAGTTTACTTGAAAGTCATACATAAACTATGGCTAATCCTAGCAACAGTTACGGCTTCGCTCGCCCTTGCGCTCGATTCCTTTCGTCTTCTCCGGCTCTGAGACATTACAACTTCGCTCTCGCGCTCGATTCCATTTGTCTTCCCCGCTTCTTCTCCGAGTCTGAGACGCGTCTCGTGCTTTGCAGCTCCTCTGCGGACCGTCTCGCGTCTATGCGGCTCCTCGACGGCTCTGCGGCTCGTCTCACGTCTTTCATCTGCGGCTCCCTCTTGCGGGTGCGCTCCTGTGCGGCTTCTTTGGGTTCACAGCGTCCTCTCTTCTTTCTTTCAAAGCTTTCGTTGGCTTCGGACGGATCGTCTGCAGCTGCCCTTGCGGGTGTCCACGCCTCAGATGTCCACGCCTCAGACACACCTAAATCGTCATATTTTCCTCATTTGTTTGAGTGGGCGGAGAACATCAAGAAACTTGTTAGGAAGAATGGGAAGTCTGTCATATCTTTTACAGAAGCTGAAGGTATTCAACTTATTTTCTCCTATCGTCTGAATTTGGTTGGGAAATTTCTATATGGTCATCCCAAAATGGAGCTCATTCGTAAAGAATTTGAACTTATGCACCTAGTTGGAGAGTGAAAAATTGGACTATTAGATGGGAGGCACATTCTTATTCAAATTAGTAATGAAGATGATTACATGCGCTTATTTGCTAGAAAGATAATATGGATTGATAACAGAGCAATGAAGATTCTGAAGATTCAGAGCAATGAAGATTCTGAAATGGTCTGCAAATTTTGACCGACAGACGGAACCACCAATCATTCCGGTTTGGATTCGATTCTCTGGTCTGAAATTTTATTATTTTTCTCAAAAAGTATTGTACTCTATCGTCTTAGCCTATGGAAAGTCGCTCAAGACGGACATTCCTACTTTTAATCTTTCCTGTTCATCTGAAGTCAGAATACTTGTTGAAAGAGACATCACTACACCTGCCAACACCAAGGATATTGGCAGAAGGTAGAGATTGAGCATTTTCCGCCGTATTATTCGAACTGTCGTATGTTCGGACACTCCAGTTCTCAATGTCATCATCTACACCCCCATCTTAGACCAAAAAAGCAAACTGCTCCGCTAGAGGTAGTGATTCCATCTTCGGATCAACTCCAAGTTTTTGACACTATTGATCATCTGAATGATACCCCGGAAGACGTCACTTTCCCCGCAGGCAATATGTCAACCATTCAGTCCCCACTTGTAGCTCCCCCGTCTTTGAAACCTCCTATCGTGGGGGAAAGAGAGATTCTCCATACCCCGTCTGCCTTAGAACCTATCACCGATAATACAGATGGAAATACATCTACTGTTTCACTACTGTCTCATCAGGTCCAGAAAGATGTTAGTATTATTCAGGCTCATGGGGATCATGATGTGTAATGACCTACAACTGTCCGACCACCTTTGGAATCTACTGATCAAATGAGTCAATCATCGGATGAGAAATGGCAGGTCTACACATCTAGGAGGAAGAAGAAAAATGAAAATCTACTTGAGCTCAGGAATCTGATGGATGATACCTTGGTTACTACGGGCAATGATACTCACCTTACTAATTTGTTAGCCGGCTCACTTCTACAAACTAGAGGCAGGCCCTAGCACTTTTGTGCCTAGCACTTTTGTGCCCTTTTGTGGCTTTTGGTTTTTTTTTCTTTTATGTATCTTTGTTTTATTTGAGTTTTGTGTGTATTGTTTTGTATGAGTTAGGCTTTCTTTTAGGCCCCCTCATGTAACATTTCTGTATCTTTTCCGTATTAATATATTTGCCATTGGGCTTTATATATATATATATATATCTTGATAGATAGATATATATTCATATATAAATATAGATATAGATAGATGGATAGATAGATAGATAGATAGATATAATACATATCATCACACATATATAAGCACACATGAATATACAAGCACAAATGCACAATCAAAATAGTCCATGGACTTTGTGCAAGGCCATTTTAACCGCAGATTACTTTAAGGGTCCAATTTAATCAATTGACTCAAATAAAATCTGAAGTAATTCCATAGTTAAAACATTACTTAATTTGACAAAAAAAAAAGTTTACATATAAGGAAATAAAAGTATTTCATACATATCAAAACGTATAAAAACTTCATCTTTCGAAAATACTTCCATTTCCACCTAATTCAAGATATTTGTGTGGAATCTTCTGCATATAAAACTATCTTAGACCATGTTTAATGGGTCAAGGAATTAGATTAGAAACTTTAAATAATATGAGACCAAAATAACCACCCATGGATAATCTGGAACTTTAAAGAAGAGAGTAATCTAAGAATTTGAATTCAAGAAAGTAAATAAGCTAAATTGCCTCGCTAGCATTACGGTGGCACTCTCAACAGGGGATCTTTATATCACAAGAAGAAAAAGATATAAGGACTACTGAAAGAGACAGGTAAGTTGGGATGCAAATTGTCAAGAGCCACATAAAATTTAGTCATAAAATAGGAGATGCTATTGAGGATACAACAATAAAGAAGACCTCTCAAAGACTTGTGAGAAGACTTATCTACTTATTACAAACAAGATCTGATATTGCATAAGTTGTGACTAAAATCATTTCATAAATGATAAAATCTGACACTTGAAGGCTGGATAAATGTCGATTATATAAATTTTAGGAAGGATAAGATGCCACTTTCATAATATTGTACAATCTTAGAAGGCAACCACATGACATCGAGTCTTGGACAAGTAAAAAATATATACAGTGTAGAACGAACACAAAAGCCAAATTTATAATCATTGCACTACGAATATACGAGCTATTACAGCCAAAATTTATTCTTGATAAGTTTAAGGTTGAACTGAAAGGTCTTAGAGGCTCGGATATGATATGTTAAATCAGCCATCAATATTGTAAATAATTCTATGCAGAATGAACAAAACAAAGTATAATAACTTGATTAGCATAGTGATCGAATTTAAATTCCATTCATCATCACAAATGGAGAACTTACAAAGTTTCTCATCAAAAGATTATTAATAATAATATTTCAAAAGTTTAAATACAAGCTTGGAATGGATAGCATCCATTCTTTCGCTCAAGAGTAAGTGTTGAAAAAATCAATCTCCATCAATTCCGATTCCACCTCCATAAATGTTCCATCAAGCTCAGCAATCCTCCGCCTTATTCTATTCATGTTACCTCAATAAGTTGTTTAATTATTATTACCAACTCACTAATGTAATATATTTTCTTAATTATAATTAATTATATATTATTTTTTATCATCATTTTTTTCATATCTCCTACCAAGATATATAAATTCAGCACAAAATGATGAAATGAATCACTTAACAAATTTACTCGAACTCTTGAAATCAATGGTAGTGAAATTTCTTCAAATAAGCAACGTAGCTGGGTTGCGTAATTAGCAGTTAATAAAATAATAATTATGAAGAATTGGAGTAGGGCATACCATCCTTGCTGTTGATTATCATCTGCAATATGAAAATCAAAATACACATATGTTCCTTTCTCAAATTCATCCGTTGTAACTTTAGGTTCTTCGTGTCGCTGAAACCATGTGTTATATTTCCTATGGTACCTCCAGGATAGCCGCTTCAGTTCTCTTGCTGCTAAGTATTGTTGGTAAGAGTTCTGCAAAATTTATTAATATTACTATGTACAAGTTACACGGTTTACAACTGTTTTAAAGGGCACATAACAACAATAAAGATACCTGTTGGTAGTAAAACGCAAAGAATAATGTATCAGTACCAAATTGGTCCATACCCAACCTCTCCCAAAAAGCTGGATTTTCAAGAATTTCAGCTCGAGTCTGAGGATAGCTAGCAGGAGTCACAGCAGGATGTCTCTAAATTAATTTTTTTTAAAAATATTAGGTTTAAACTAATATTAAAATTATTATAGAAGAAATAGTGAAAAACTCATATACTGTATACAAGCTGTACCGGCATATAATTCTTGACTCGTTGTGAATCCTTGGGCTGAGGAAGCTTGAAAAAGGCTGCTTCAAGCATCTGCAAATTATAGTTCTGATCATGAAGCCCGCCAGAATTCACGGCCAAACCATTAAGGTTGTCACCAATGGCACCATGTTCTGAAACGCTTCTTCTACCAATGACACCGAGATTAGCAGAAGACTGGCTTGATTGCAATAGTTGCCCTGGAGAAAGATCCGTACCTCTGGGCAATTGAGTAGCATCAACTATAGATGTAGAACCTGAGACCTAGTATAAGAGACAAAATTTATAATTTCTCAAATAGACATATTAGAGAAAAGAAAATCACATACATAAAATTCATCCCATAGATTAATCAATGAAATATTTTCATAAATGTTGGTTTGCTTTCCCATGATATTTGCCTTTATAAACCTCACCCTCTAGAGCATGTATAACTGAACAACCCAAAAATAAATAAAATCAAAAGAAACACAATTGTCAGTGAGTGTTTCCAAACAACTATGAAGTCACTTTTTCTGCATTTTTTTTTTATCTTTTTCATCTTCTCATTGACTTTTCTGCCTACTATTGTATGTACTTTATTTTAGTTTAACGAGATATGTTAAGCATGCAACTTTCCAATCAAAATAAAATTTATGATAGGATTTCCCTTGTATTGCATGAGACAATTTGCTAATAGCTTTATATTGTGAGAAGAAATAGAAAGCCAAAAAAATGTCAGGGAACCAAGAATGTAGGGTTTCTACTTAAATTGGTAAAGAAAAAGAAACAAAATATCTTAAATACATCTGCGCGTTAAATTATTAGTGGTTGAACAGCATGCTACTAACATGCATCCGTTGTTCTCCGTGTACTTCTAGTAACTTAATGTCAAGCCAGAACCCTTGCATCTTCTGTCACCCTCATATGTAAAGGCAAAATGGCTTAGCTCTTAATTTTAAAAAACCCTGTGATCTTATCAAGAATCCAAAACTATCTGCAGTTACAATTAACCAAAAAATAATCCAATGAAACTTTGGATTAATATTTACACCTAATTATAATTCAACACCACTATGTGACCTAAAATTCTTAGTGAAACAAACTGCATCATATAACAAGTAAATAGATAAAAAACTACATCAAAACTCATTAAACTTCATTGTCAATGGAAAATGTTAAGAGAAAAGCAGACAGAGATTCTCTCCCAGTTTGATACATAACAGTGATGCAAAAATTTTCATGAGGGCTGGTTGGGGTCCACGGGCCCCCTGGTGCACATTCATGATGTGTATTACCAATGATAAGCACCTATTCCAACCAAAAAAATATAACCGGATAAAAATATTTTAACCTTTTTAGCTAACTCCTTAATTTAAAATTAAGTGCGTTGAACTATGTCATAAAACCTTAAATCATAGTAAGAAAATGTCGAGTAACTTCAGTCTTCTAAAATGGCATGCCTTCGGATTTAGATACAGGCATAGTGAGGTTTTCACAAAACATCGAAGCATCAAACTGCACTTCAGATCCAAAAAACATGTTATTATGAACATTACTGAGAACTTATGCATCTGTGTTGTAATTGCCGCAGATTGCTATATTATTTATGCTATGATAATCTTATATCAAGGTTTGGCTTGATAGAGTTGATATACTCAACAGGAATGCATATCTAGAGATCATGTACTGTCTTACCATAGGAAAAACACTAATAAAATCAATTTTCATGTCTAAGACTTAGTCTTGGAATCAAACCCAGGCAGCCTAAAACAAACGGCGGACCAATTTAAACTTCAATGGTAAACACTTATGTCACAGTTTCAGGACAAAATTATTAACAGTAATTCATAATAGTCAACAAGCAATCATAAATTGGACCAAAATTTTGTCCCTTATCTTCTCTGGATACTTTTTCTATTAAGACTCAAATTTTTAAATCAAAATCTAACACTTATGTTATAAGCACATAATACTGGCGTTTCAAAAAACTAGAATGAAAGAAAATTCTGCAGGTGGAAGGGTTGTTTCAATATGAGCAATTGGTTCAAAGAAAGTATCAACTAAAAATATTCATATTGTAAAAAGAACTTCAGGTTCTTAAATTTTATCTAGCTTTACTGATAAGGAATTATAATCACTTAAAACAAGAAGTAGAGCCAAAGTTGCAATCTTGATTTTCTACCGAAAATGCTGACTTGGGATCATCATCGTTGATACCCTTGTCAAGAGCAGTACTTGCAGGTTCCACATTCAAATCGTCCAACAGAGTCTGCTGTTGCAGCTCATCTACTTTAGAGTTACCCGTATCTACATTATAACATAAACAAACAGATTTAGGCGATAATCACAAATACTAGAGATTACTAGATAAAGAGAATAAAAAGAGAAACTAACCAGTTTCTTTTGTTCCAGTTGCGGGCAATACATGATGTTGTGATTGTTTATGCATGGGAGACTGCAACTGCTGTTGAACAGATGTAGCAGCAGCTAAACCAGGAGGCTGAACATTAAGCCCTATTCCAGCCTGATATAAATGATTGAAGACTAAGACATACAGTTGCATCCAAAGAAAAAGAGTATTATTTTACATGACACGCTATAAGGGATCTAAACAAAATTACTTATTTGATTTAATGCTAAAGATAATTATCAACATTACAACTATGAGAAAAAAATTCAGTGGTGAAAAACAATCAAATATTACAATGAATAGCCATGTCTAAATGAAACATGAACCTGTAAAAGAGCACTCTGTTGTTGCATAAGGAATTGTTTGGAATTAGCCCCGCTTAAATGAGGGACGCTGAGAAGAGAACTATGGCCTTGTTGCTGCACTTGTTGGAGACGCTGCAGATACTTCTCCCTCTGGTCTGGAGCAATCTCCGGTCTACCACGCAACTGTCCCTATAAATATATTCTATGAAAATTCTTCAAAGTATCTACAACTGCATTTCATTCTTTCAAAAATTATAAGAGCGCAGGCAAGAAAAAATGATAAACGAACCCATGCAACAGACATAAAATACATATTAAGTTTGGAAAAACAAAAGAGCAAAATGATTCATCTTAACCGATTTCTTCTCTTATATTCTTCCACAACAAATGGAAATGCTGTGGAAAAAATGAACACTTGATTTCTATCTTCATACTACAGCACATGCAGCCAAACCAAAAGACAAATATGAAATTGCACAATGAAATAGTTCATAAACAAAAATTCTTTTTTCTTTTTTAAAGAGCAACAGAAAACTACAAACAGAGTTAAATTCATAAATAGCATGGAAGCATATACTGTTTCACTTTGATTCTGAAAGGAAGTTGCACTTTGAGGCCTCCATTGGACTCCACTGACAGCAGAGGGTGAAAAGACTCTTCCACCAACAATAGGACTTTCTACCAGATTGTTGGAATCAATTGAGGTCGTCCCCTCGTTAGCTTGTGAAACCTGCATTGGTAGCATTCGATTACTTATAGCAGAAGCCAATGGCTGAGCAAGAGCAGCGCTTGAAATTCTCTCATCAACAGTTAGAACAGTTCTCTTGCTCAAGTCGGAAGCTGCAGGGACAGAACTAAGAGCCCCAGAGCTAGAAATGCCAACTGAGGTTAAGCTTATGGGAGTACTAATAGATGCTTGATTCGATGGTACTCTGTTTGGACCTCTTCCCAGTCCTATCTCAGGGATCGCAGGAGATCTCCTTCCAGGGAAGGTGATGATATCATCTTCCTTAACTAACCCAGAAGAGTTTACAAGCGGAGCAGTGGCAGATAAACCATCGGAGGCACCACGAACAGGACCAGAAAATATTGATGTTGCAGTTGGCCCAACAACAGATGGACGCACAGAAGCATTAGAAGTGGCAGCAGAATTGGATCCAGCTGATGGCCCCAAAGCTACAGCAGATGGAGCTGCTGTTGTAGGAGACCCTATTGCTGTGGTTTTTGAAGGTGGGGTTCTTGGAGTAATGTCAGTATTAATATCCTGAGAAGTTGTTTCTTCACTTTGGTCTTGAGCAGCATTCTGTTGAGAGATTGCTGCTAACAAGTTAGTCAAATAAAAGGCAACAAGAACATATATTAAATTAAAATCATTATGCAAGTAGACCCAAATATATAAGAACATGAGAACAAGCAAAAGAGTAGCAATATTTATCTTCACTCCTAAAAGTAAGTAATTGAACCAAATAAATATTTCTATTTTTTTAGTGAGAGGGCGCACAACACAGCAAGTTGGATACTGGTAGGAAGAACCCATATACCCTTTCTACCTAGGTTCCTGTAACGAAGGAAGTTTGTGACCCTAGAATCGACCAATTCACTCAAGTTAGCAATAACCAAGCTTCACCCTACAAAAGAGAAGAAATGAAAATGAAGAAGGAATTTCCCTTTGCATAATCCGAAAAGTGCAAATCTCATTGTGAAGGCCAATTCCTGTTAATTTATACAAATCAGCCAACAGCTCATAAGCCATCACACTACACAGCATTAAACTACTAAGATCATTTACTCCCTTGTATCATTAACTATACAGGAAAAAGGCTGCTTACAAATCCATAGCAGTGTTAAAATCATATTTTGAGAAGAATACTCTATATAAAAAGAAAATCAAGCCAAGTATCATTATTTTTTTCTTCACACGCGCGCCGCACACATACATGCACTCAAACGTGCGTAAACACACGCATGAACACACAAACGCACACGTGCCGCAAACACGTGACCTTGAACTGAAGACCTCTTGGTTAAAAAACAGAGCTCTTAAACAAGCTGAGTATCACCGTGTTCAAGCCTGTTTATTTAAAGTCTCATTGAGCCGAATATGACTAAAATGTTGAAACTATTTTATTTTCTCTCTTTTATCAAGTTCAACCTACCAAACCTCAATCAAGCCTAATAAAGAAATGTGTGATGAGGCAAAAATATAATACTTTAATTATTATGAGTGTCCATCAACCTTGCATAAAGAATCAAAATTGTTAATTGTTATTCAGTTAACCACATAAAGAAACATTGTCGGTCAATACTTGAAGAATAAATGAGTCTAATTCACAACTCTAAGCACATAATCAAGTTGCACTTTGATGATAAGCACTTAAAATAGCTAAAATTATTGAGTACACACGCACGCCAGCCCCGCCCTCCCGCCCCCCCGCCTGCCCGCACAAACACACACACACACAATATATATATATTAAAGAGAGTACGCCTTCATTATCATTTTACAGTAAGTACCAATAAACCATTTAATGTCATGTTTTTAATTAAAACAGCTTATAAGTGGGAAAAAGTTAGCCTTTATGCTTTCAGAACATTGAACATGTAAAACTAAACACAAGTCTAATGTTAAAACAGCCATAGGAACGTAGTCAAACCAATTTAATTTACCCACAATTACACAATCCTTTTCATTTGTCCTTCAAGAAATAAAGAAACTTAACAAAAAAAATTCAATCCATAGCCAATTAATGTGAGCTCTGCTACAAATAGCAAGTAATTTGGTATTTGGACTAACTATATAGAAAGAAAGAGCACTTTTGCTATAGATATTGCTTTTCCTTCATTAGTAGAGAGGATAGAAGGAATACCACTAGTAATTGTAAGAATTGCTCAACCACAAATAACTCTCAGATCAAGCTATACCTAGTAGTTCTAGGACATTAATTAGACCAAGCTTAGATCAAGAGGACCATCCTATCCCATAGAATATTTACAATTATATGAAGTTGCATCTTTCTCCCTCAAAATGGAAACTCAAGACTCACTAACCAAAACATAATTAGGGAAAATATCTTTGGATTTTCATTCAAAAAAATTGAAATTTCACCTATGGTTCTTTTCCTCTAGGTAGAAAAGAACACATTCATTAAATGCATGAGATTTTTTTATTCTTTTATCTTTACTGGCTGATAAAACCACTTAAATTTGGACAACTTAGAGTAACAATGCCTAAACATTTGATGAAAATTTCAACGCAGCGGGATAAAAACTTGTCGACAATAGCCAATGAAAAAAATTTAAAAACTAATCTACAAAACAAAAGAAGAATATAAACAATAGGAAGGTGCTAAATTATTAACTGGCTTGTCACCTAAGAGCTGGTAATATCAATTACTAATCAATTACTAATCAGAAAATTAAATTTACAATTGTAGTCATGCTTACATTGGAATTCTTAATAGTAGAAACAGAACCGACGCCCTGCAAGTAACATAAAAGGAAACTGTTTAATATGAACACAATGGACTTATGGCATGCATCTGAAGTATAAATGTCAGTACTTCATAAAAAAAATATATGAAGTACATATGACAATCTACACCTCCACAAAAAGTATGATAAAGTTACACTAGATGTGAAAACTACTAACATTTCTCTCAAGTATAATAAAAATAAAACATGCAACACAAACACATTGTTTTATATTACAATGAGTAGATTAACAAAATATTCTCAAATAAGACAAAATTCCCGTATTCAATTATAACTTGCATCTTCTATGGAAAATATCAGACTGAATAAATCTGCATTTGAAGAGAATTTTAGCTTTAATCGCCCATTGCATAAATATTTATACATTCATAGACATGCTAGCACCGACCACAAAATTTTGCTCCATTATCCAAACACACAAGTCACAACTTGTGTTCCGCAGACAGTATGAAAAAGGAAAAGAGCTACGAACAATTGAATTCATCTTAAGGACAATAGATGTAACAATCAGAAAAAATTTCTTTAAAAAAAATTCTTGTGTTAAAACTGTTTCAAATCTAACATGTATTACACCAAAAAAATATACATTAGATAAGCAGAATTTGGGCTGATGCATCACTTGTAACATAAACATTCAAAGAATCAAAACAAATGCTAATAAAAACCGCCAAAATTTGCACCATTCTCCAAATATACTCCTTGTAAGAGCTATGTTGCAAATATTAGCCATGGCTGAGCAAATCAGATAGCAATCGTTAATTGAACCAAGCAATTTAATTTCAGCATTTAACCAAGTATAGCACACAAAGAAAATAAGCACTCAGGAAGTGTCAAACTGACACTAAAATCATAAAGGACTTGGCTTATAATGTAAAGTAATTCTCTGATAAAAATTATAATAGCAATTCACTAATTTTTTTAAGTCAAAATCAAATCAACTTGAGCTTTTCATATTAAGCTTTGAGTGAAGTTGTGGGGCTAAAAAACATTGTATACAAATTTTAAGCCATGAAGTATGAATATACCTCAAAAAGCTTTTTGTATCCATGTTAAACACTGAAACGCCTCTAATACACCACAACTAACGAATCTCAGTTTTGCTTTTATTTGTCCGCTTCCTAAGAAATATGATTGCAAACTTCTTGAAGATTCCAAACCTATTAGATTGCTTGATGGTAAATTGAAAACTTTCACCAAAGTTCTTGCTAATAAACTTAAAATATTTTCTTCATGTAGTGGTGAATGCTATCTCTTAGGATGCTTTTATTGAGGGAAGTACTATCAATTGCATCATTATAGCTCATGATTTATCAATTGCATCATTATAGCCCATGATTTACCACCAAGAAATAAAAGAAATTAAATAACAAAGTAGGTTTTGAGAAGCTTTGTTAGCAGCAGGGGAAATTTCCATTGAATACCATTTTAATTTTGTTGTGTGCTAGAAAGTTCTCAACGGTAAAAAAAATCATAGTCCCTGGCTCAGTAAAATAATATACTATGTAATCAATAATACAAAAGTTAACACTTCACCTAAATTAGGGAATATGAGATTGTAAGATGAGATGAGATTATAAGATTAACCTCACCCGTTTACCCTCCAGCATTTCCTTATACTCAAAGATTCGCTCATTTGATTGCAGTCATTCGATAAAATTGTACAAATCCATACCTCTATCAAACTCTAGTAAATCCACTTTGACGCAGAAATCCCTATCTCGCCACAGATGGAATCTTCTCTCGACCTCCTCTGATAATGAATTTTTTAACATCGGGTTTGCCATCCTCATTACTGGCGTCATCCATATGGAATGGATTCAAACCATGGTCCATTTCTCCCATTTTGACTCTCCATATATATCACGGTCGAGGATCATCTCCCTCAAGGTTATATTATCAATCTCCGCAAGCCTCCGTTGAAGCCGACCAATCTCTCGTTGTATCTCATCCCTGATAGATTCCAGCATGTATTTCCCTGGTGGCATGATTAGAGTTTAACGATTGGAAGAGGTGGTTAAGGATACATAAAAATTGTGTGTGTGTGTGTGTGTGTGTTGGGCGGTGTTGCGAGAGACGGAGGGTGCGGGGAGGGGGGAGCTATGAAACCCCAGAATAGAAGGCCACAAAGGTTCTTAAAACAAGAATAAAGCAGCACAAAGCACAAACGACCCGCTAGGGCGAGGACGAAAAGTGGTGAACCTGGCTGAACAATTGGTGGAAGGTGGTTTAGGAAGTTGCAGTAGCAGTTAGGGTTGCTGGAAGGGGTGGCGGCCGCACTTTGAGGGTGCGGAAAGAACCGATGGCGGCAGAAGGTGGAGGTGCAAGAAGAGCGGGCAAGCAGAGCGGTCGGCAGCAAGAATAGCAAAGGATGGGTGCAGGGACGATTGCAGCTAGTCCGGGAGGGGAATAGGTGATGGATTATGTAGAGAGTCGCCACTTAGCATGAAACAGCCAGTGCACCACGTCCTAAGAAACAACCCTAACAAGGGAGAAATGCCTACTGCAAGAGTTCTAAAATCAGAGAAAACTAAACTCTAAACAAAAAAACAACATAATTATAATAAAAGATAACTATGAGGGAAACCTCTCCCCTTGAGCGGCAGCTCCAATCCTAAGTAAGGTAAGTTGATTCAGCATCCCTGTTAGACCGGCTACCCCCTTACCAAATCGGTTCAACCAAATCATCCCCTAAGGCGAGGACAAAAAACTGTTAACCCGGTTGAATTGCTACAGGAAGGTGGTTGAAGGAGTTGCGGTAGCAAGGGTTATTGGAAGTGGTGGTGACAACAACTTGAGGATGCAAGAAGGGTTGACGGCGGTAGATGGGTGTGTACGTGATGGGCTAGCGGCAACAGGAGGGAGTGCAGGAAGGTTTGGCGGTAGCACTTTGGGGTGCAGGAGAGGTCGGAGGCATAAGGTAGAAGTGCAAGAAGGGCGTCGGCAGCAGGAACGGGAAAGGATGATGCAAGGAAGATGGCAACGAATCGGGGAGGGGAATAGGCGAGGAATTATGTGGAGATAGTCACCACCTTAGAGTCGGATACAGTCGGAGCACCATCTGTCCTCGGATACAACCCTAACAAGGGAGAAACACCGATGACAAGAGTTTTGAAATCAGAGAGAACTAAAATCTAAACATTAAAAAACAACATATTTATAAAAAAAAAGATAATTAGGAGAGAAAACACTCCCCTTGGGCAGTAGCTCCAGCCCTAAGAAAGGTTAGTTGGTTCAACCTCCCTGTTAGACCTGCAACCCCCTTACTAAATCGGTGGAGTTAGTTCAGCCCCTAGCCCCCTCATCGAAAACAAAATAAAAAAATAGAAAATAAAAAACAAAAGTAATCCAAAATGGACCCTTAATGTACAAAAATATAAAACATAACTTCAAACAATAAAAAAATAAAATTAAAAAAATAAAAAATAAAAGTTATTCCAAACAATCCCGAAATAAAACTATCTTAAGTTGGGTTAATAGATGATATAATGGTTAGAATATAGTAGAAAATTTTCAAAAATCCATAAAATGAGGATAATTTAAATTTTTCATATGTTGGACCATTGTTCTTGAATGTGAATAGAATTACAAATTTTTTGGGAAATAAAAAAATAGAAAGCAATATAAAGATGCAAAAATCAAGAACTTTCACCAAATAACACTTCAATGGAAAAGCAAGAAAATAAAGGTAAAAAGTAAAAATGTGAAGCTCAAGACATATAGAAAATCAATAAAAATACAATGACATCACCAAAATGGCAACTGCTATTGAAATCAATTTATTCAATAATCTCATACACAAGTTTCTCAAGCATTTGAATTAGGTAAATTTGAAACATAATTTCACCATATTGAATGAATGTCAACCAATAAAAAGGCTACCTTTACAAGACTAGACGGACCATGTGAAACAAGTTCTTCAAGGGCTTCCACCTTGTCTAATGGTAGAGAGCTATAAAGTTCGTCAACATCATTAAACTCGTCAGGCTCCTCCTGTCAGTCATACAAAAATGAAAGCTCGTATTAGAAAAAGAAAATCTTTAATTTTGATATATCATAAATCAAAGCACATGTTGTCAGGCATACTTGATTACGCTCCACATAGTCTTCTAAGAAATCTCGGACATCATTGACTTGCTCATGACTCAGCTCATCATTATCAAGCAACCTTAAAATTAACTCCAACTTCATTATATGAGCCTTATGTCTCACAATGGATGTCTCCAAATGTGCCTAAAACAAAAGCAGAATTAAAAAATTCAAATATCTTATATTGCAGTAAAAGGACATAGAATAACAACTTTTTGTAGTAATAGAAATTTGCACATGATTAGAGTTAGACACTGCACCAGCCGAGGAGGCCTAGCCTTTCCCTTCTTAACAGATAGTCCCTCGATCTCAGCTTCAAAGTTATCAATCTGACTCTCCAAATCCCCAACCTAAGATTCAAAGAATCAATTACCATAATAAAAAAAACAAAATTAATAAAATTAAATATTAGATGAGCAATGATTTCTTGAATGAAAAAAGGAGCCTAAATTTTCATGTTGTTTTGACCTAAATAACCAAAACAAAAGTTAGGAAAGCTCTATAAAGATACTGAATTTTACAATTAACATTACTGAGTAACTGATATATCTTTAAGGTTTACTAGTTCAATTGATCAATACTAAATAGTAGGCAATGCAGTGCAAAGCATTAACTACAAAATCCATAGTCATGACTCATGGTCACAAGTCATTTTGCTACTCATACTTTTCCATATTTTTAAAGTCATATAATTATTCCATTATCTATATTTGACATTTTGTTAATTATGAATAAATTAAATTATCCTTGAATTTATGAAAACCACTAAAAAATGTTAGGTCTGTAGTTGTTATTGATCATGGTTGATAATTGAATAAAGCAATGGATTATACTTTTATGACATTATCCTTGGGTATCAACTTCCTCCTTTCTCCTAAAAATGTGGTTCTTTCTCTCTCTAAACAATTGTCTCTGTCACTAATAAATGGATACATCAATTTTTGTCAATCTAATATCTCCTCCCCTCCCAATTCTTTAACAAAAAAGATATCAAAAGTCCCCATGTATTGCTTCCATAGCCTCAATCATCATCAATTAGGAATTAAGGTCAAAGCCAAAGTTCCTGAATCAAAGAGTTATCCGTGCAAGGGTAAAGGTGCCTTGATTTGCATATTTAAGAAGAGTGTGCAACTTCTCTTCATCAAAATTTATTTAAGCAATCAGCCTATTCCATATGGCCAAAATTCTTGAACCTCCAATCAATTTTTTAACTCTTAAATTCTAGATAATATAACAAAAAAAAAAACTAAAACTAGGGGTGTAAATGAGTCGAGTAGAGCTCGAGCCATGCCAAGCTTGAGCTCGGCTTGTAGTGCTAGTAACTGACTCGCGAGTTCGAACTAAAAATTCAATTTATGGGAGCTCAATTGAGAAGGTTTTGGTGGCCAAAGGAGGAGGATGCAACGGCAGTTCACTAGAAAATGCAATGAAATGACTAGTAGTAGGCTAATCGAAACAGTTTGCGAGCCAACGGGCCGAGCAAAGACGAGCTCGAGTCCTACCATCAAAAATATACATGATCTATATCACTCATTTGTCCTACCATGAAAAATCACACACCTCCTTCGCCATTCATGAAAGCAAAAATACACTCCCAAGTCTCACCAAAACAAATTATATCAAGCTAGACTCCAAACACTATATTTATCCAACAAAACCCAACCCATTCCAAATATATTGAAACCTAAATTACCGGACCTACTCCAAAAAAAGTTCCCAAACAAAAAAAAAAGGAAAATGTTCAGTTTCAATCAGCCAATATTTCAATCCAATCATATCAACATAACAATTCGTGAAGACCTTAAATTTTTTAGAGATATGCTTTTAGAGGTGAGATTGTTCTTGAGGATCTCTGATGAGAGAATGGTGATACTTTTCTCGTAAATCCCTTCCTCCTCAAAAGAATGTTTCATTCATTGCCTCTACTTTGAAACAAATCCCCATTCATCTCATTTTCTGGACCGATTTTGCGAGCTATAATGACAAGTTGAGGATCTTCAATTCCACCTCCAACCGCAATTTAATTTATTTTAAAGGGGTTCTTTGGAGAACACAAAGAATTAAATTAGTGTAAGATTTCTACTTTAACTATAGGCCATCGTGTTAGCAATAAATTTTCATAATTTTTTTTTATCTTTATAAGTGATTTTTTTTTCTTTAGATAATCCCCGAATTTGTGGCCACTATTCTAAATAATAGACCTCATATTATTATTGAGAATGATTGCTGATGAAATAAAAATATGGCCTTCTTGGCATTCCACATAAGGGGTAATTCTGAACTATTTCTCCTAGCCATAAAATTCTTTCTTCTCTCCCTTTAACCTTATCTTCCAATCCTTGAGGCATTGATTCATCTCTTATAAATTTTTCTCTCTATACCTACACAACACCTCTTTTATCTCTCTTTACCCTTATCTTTCTTTCCTTGAGGCAATGATCCATCTCTTCTTCTCAATTTCTTCTTTATTTTTCACCTCCCTAACTCTACCTCTACACTGAAGTATTTCCTTCTCAACAATGAATAATTCCACTAAATTCATCACTTCTACTGCCATTTCTCATCATCATTAGGATACAAGAATAAAATGTTTCATGTCTTACAGTTTAGTGCCATAAAAACTATAAAAGGCAGTAAGATGTTCCTACTCTATACAAAACTAACATCAAGCTATTAAAGAAATAAAAAGAAAACTTCAAAGAAAATTTAATTGCTAATAATTTGGAGCATGCACATTTAAAGCTTCAAGATATAATGAATGGTTATATAAAGCCCGTGAGCTAAGTTAGAAAAATAATAACCTAATGCAGAAAATGTAATGCAACATTCTGGTAATAATAACCAACCAGAAACAAGCTAAATCACAAAGTCCCTCATAATAAAAGATTGACACAATAACTCTACCCAAAAGTGTTGAAATATATCACAGCCATAACTGAACATGGCATTTCCTGTTGCACCCAAATTATGAAAAGTATATAAGTAAGATTTAATGATCAAACGTATGAAAATATTAACAGAAAGCACTAGAAAGAACAGTAACGCAGTCCAATATAAGATAAAAGTTGGATATGAGTAAATAAAACTTCCTCATAGTATTTCTATCAACGCTTACTACAGTTTTTACTAGCACTGCAAAACAGCTCGTTGTTCGCGAACAGCTCGGGTTCGGCTCGTTAAGAAGCTCGTGTTAGCTCATTCTGTAAGTTAACGAGCCGAACACGAACAAAGATTTGTTCTGATGTATGAACAAATGTATTGCATTGTTTAGTAAATGTGATATTTTTGATGTGATGTCAAAGATTTGAATGTAATGGATGTAAATATATAAACAATTGAGAGGTATGTTTGCTAATGATATTTTGGAGATTTTTTCATAGATCTCACAATTTTTATGTATTTACATGCTAATGATATTTTGGAGATTTTTTCATAGATCTCACAATTTTTATGTATTTACATTATAGCATTTCAGTCATAATCATATTTGTGTAAAATAGGGGTAGTTCACTTTTAAATAAAAGTATTAATGATATTCTTAATGTGATATTAAATATTTATGAGGTATATATTTTTATTTGTTAGGTAATCGATATATTAGTAAATAGGGCTGTCAAAGCGGCTCGTTGTTCGCTAATAACTCGTGTTCGGCTCGTGAAGAAGCTTGTGTTCGGCTCGTTTACTAAGTTAACGAGCTGAACACGAACAACACATTCGTGTTCGACTCATTTTCACTCGAAATTCTACTAATCAATTATATATATGTTTGATGAGTAGTGTTTTTAAAAAATTTAATTGACTACAAGGCTACAAAGATTTATAATCAATTAAAAGTATTAATGAAGAAAATTGAATGTTAAGAAAATAGAATAAATATTATTAAATTTAGATCCAAATGATGTTTAATATAAACAATAATTTTTAAATCTTGTCTCATCCCTTAACATCTTATAGCTGCGTGATTAGGCTGTCAAAAGGACTCTTTGTTTGTGAACAGCTCGTGCTCGGCTCGCTAAGCAAACAAGACGAACACGAACACACTTTTGTGTTCGGCTCGTTTACACCCCTATTAGTAAATAGAGCTGAGTGCATTATAAACGAGCCGAAGACGAGCTGAGCCTAGGCTGGCTAGTGTTCGGCTCATTTACACCCCTAGTTTTTACTTCATTGAATCCCTATGCTTGCGAAATGAAATCAGCATAGAAAAAGCGGTGTTAATGCCGGTATCAGTAAACAGCACATTAAATTTAAAACAATCCAAAACAAAAAAATAGTAAACTTTGAGAAATACTTTGCTAGGAGAGGAGAAAGTTGCTAAGCATACCACATTGTTTAGCCAATCCCTTGTTTCTGCTTTGGCCTTCTCTCTTGGATCCTATCGAGTTATAATAGGAAAAAAAAAGCTCTATGAGGCAACATCTTAAATGCAGGAAGCTTATCACCAACATAATCCTTAAAATGGTACTAAACTATCAGAAAAAAACTTCAAAACTAAGCAGTTCGGGAAGTAAAACAGCAATTAGCAAAGCCACTAAAACTAAAGCATAATGTTAAACATCAGAAACATAGCCAAGAGAAACTAAAATTTAGGCAAATTCAAAGATGTGCTAGAAAATATCCAGAAGGGCACAACATTAGAGCAGAACCAGAACAATTACATTTCGAAAATCTTCACATGGATGAAAATGTACAAAATTTGAAGCAAGGATGAAAAATCTAACCATATGAGGAAATCAAAAGGGGATGGATGATTGATAATGTTATCATATGAGGATACGAAAAATGCAACAAGGATCACAATCATGTTAACTTGACAGAATGGCTTTAGAAAGTTTCTGCATGTTAAGGTAGTTTTCTACACAATCTATGAGCACTAAGGGCCTATTTGGCGTAGCTTTCTCTCTGTTTTGCTTTTCAAAAGAGTCACGCCTCCATTTGACTGATACAATCTTGTTATTTTTTAGAAATTTATATAGTTAAAAGATGTTTTTCACGACTAGATCTACTAAACTGAGATAGCAATAAGAAAGTTGTCATCTCACTTTCTCTAAAAAGAAAATTTTATAACAACTTTCAAAAAAGTTACTTCCTTACAAAAACTTCTTAATCTCAACTATAAAAAACTATACCTGCCTCATATATATCCTAAATTAACAATATACCCTCAGAATTGAACATGTAAAGGTGACGGTATACACAATATGTTCAGCAAAGTCAAAACAGAGAAAAGCTAAGGAATAAAAGAACAAGTAACTTCTAGCAAACAAAAGGATAAGTTTTTCACAGGAAAGTGGAAATTAATACAAAATTGGCATGCATAAAATAATCAGATGGAGAGAGATGCAACTGTGTTTCTCAGCTTCTTAGTAAGTGAGGGAATAGCAACTGACAAATAAGCACAGGCCTTACAGTTTTTGGCTGTTGACCTAGGCCTTCCTTAGAGAAGGCTTTTGTTTTGGTTTCCTTCTCGCAGACCTTAAACCTTTCCATTTCACGCTCAATAAGTTTTCGAGCATCCATCAGAGCCTGCTCATAAGAGGCACTAACCTATGTCAAATATATCAAAAAATTGATTGTCAACCTCAGAATAACATCTTATGCAGCTACTAGAAAATAATATTAATTCAAAATCATCTAAGTTCAGAAGACAATGAAAAACAGCATTGCTGATGTTGTAGAATCTATGAATACAAAATACAATAAAACCACTAGTCCTTAACTGAAATGCATACTAAGAAACCATAAGTCAAAGCATTATAAAAAAGTATATTGCTAAAAGTTGAACAAGCCTGAGTCTTATATACGCAAGTTCTGTTGTTAAGTGATTTACAGGTGAAATGGTAAATTAGTAAAAATCACCATTAAAAAAACATCAAATAATTACAGAAACTAAAAAGATAATATTAGCGAACAAGTATTCCAGGTCATATTATTATCTTCAACATCTATGATTATTTCAATAAATTACAGAAATTAAGAAAAAGATATTTCAGATAACATAGCACAGAACTTGTAGAACATTAAAGAATTACTTCATAATCACAAGAATTGATAAGTGTACATTTGTGCGTACAAATGCCTTATCCTTGCATTGCAGGGAATCACTAAAATTAATCAAACTAATTAAATCAAAGGTAACGTTTTTTCCCCCATTATCAATTAATGTAAAATCAAATTAGTAACCCCTGCTACAGCAATGACTAAAATAAAATTCTTAAGTATAAATTATGGTTTATGCGGTATTTATCCTGCCAAAAAAGACTTAATACATCACACTAACATATGCTTTAAGTTAAACATCTAGGTTCAAAGTTCAGTCATAAATTTCGTGAACTTATTAAATGGTTCAGAGTTAGTTTGAGGCCTTGAATAATAATTTTTTTGGGAATTGCGGAACTATTATTGCAACTCAAGACTTCAGTATCGATTACCTGTTGTAATTTGGAGCTTAAGTAGTGATTATTAGTTGATCATGATTAAGCAGCCAGTCATATCAAATCCAAGAGCAAGCTAAAAGCATGGGTATGACTCGATGAGCATGTGTGGCCTGCAGCCTATTTTTCTATGCAAGCACATCCAAATAAGCAAGAAACCAAATGCATGGAGTCCTTCATTTATAGACCCCTACCTCCTCCATAAATGGTCAGCTTCCATCCCATTCATCTTTGAATTCTATTTTAAAATTATAAAGTAATATTTTAAATAGTTTCAAAGGGTTGTAAGAAGAATCTTTGTTGAATTCAATTAAAATAACTTTTTTTTACTTCTATCCTGGCTGCAGCTTCGTAGCCAAAACCATTGGCTGGAGGCTTGCTGAAAGACCGCCTCAATCCTTCATTGAAGGTTGAGTTTGTTATCTCATACTTTAAACTCTTGTAATCCCATTCCATTACATCTCCTACACTTTCCCAAGCCATCACACATTACCCCTCCACAAATTCTGCCTCCAAATCCAAGAATTACCATTCTCTGTTTTGGAATCCCCCTCCAAAACCAAATGTTAAACTCACATGTTTGGGTCCTTCATTAAGCCCTAACCGTTCTTCCCAAGCCCATGCCACCTGCTGTCTCCCACAAACCCTAAATCTCCCAAAATTCTCAGTATCACAAAGAAACAAAAAAACAACAAATCCTAATTGTTAGGACCCAGCTATCTCACTACCATAAGGCATAGCCCAGAGTATACCACTCCCACCACCCTCCTCTCCTCATACCACCCATTCCCAGGTCCCGAGAACAAGCAGTGACACCTAGGGGAAAAACCAACAATAATGGCACTTGCAGAGCAACAAACAAAAGAAATTATCACAATCAAAACCTTTGGAACTGCAGCGCACTGTTGAGAAATCAAGTTATGGAGGCATAACAGTCCACACACAATGAAGAAAACAAGATGAATAAAATCACACATTTAGCAATTGTATATTTGGAAGGGAAACCTTGAAAACTAATCTTATATAGTTCAAACTGTTGATTAAATTAGACACCTTAGTAAGATAACACGACTCACTCTCAGTGGACCCAAACATCATAAGCAGGTTCAACATAAGCAGAAAATAAACTGAAACATAATTTAAAGTTCACAGGTTCAAAACTTCCAATGAGCATATATTTTCAGATTTCCATTACTATCACATCCTAGATGAGTGCAAATCCTCCTCAATGTAGCACTCATATTCAAGTAAATCTTGCAAGTGCCAGGAATGCAAACTTAAAAATCTTGAAAAGGAATCCAACCCTAATATCAAATTCAGAAGAATTAGATTAGGTTGTCTAATTTATGTAATTGTAAATAATGCGAAAGTTAGGGCAAAACAAATATTTCTTTTTAGCACGATACAATTAGGAACAGCCACTTTCAAAAAATTTAAAAGAATATTACTAGACTTGAAGCCTAAACAAATTTATTATAATATGGGATTATGATTCAGGAAAAAAAAACTATAATCTTACAGATTTGTAGCCCACTTTGGATAATGAGTATTGTTTCTATTTGAAACAAAAGAAATTGAAAAACTTTACAGCTAAAAAAAAATAAAATTTCTTTTTCTAACCAATAATTTGTCATCATAACTCTTGTTTAATAGCATTTGTCAAGCATCTCCGCTTAGCATTATTAATCTTTTTATTGAATAAACAAATGTAAATACGCTTGTTGATCGTATTTTGTGTTTATTATCGTTGCTTTTACATTTACTCTAATAATGTCCTATTTGATTGATTCTTTTATGCTCGTCTTGTTTGTGCTATTGTTTCTATTTCAACTAATTGTTCAGCATTTTTGTTACAATATCTGACCGTTACTAATATGTAATTGAAATAAGTAAATGTTTTGCCTTGACACAAGTTGCAAAACATGTCCATACTTATCAGAGTGAGAAAGTCTCGGCATACAAACCATTAATTGTAGGTGCCCTTTTAAACTATTCTAATTTTACAATGTTTCATTAAGGTACTTTCAATCTCAAATAGAATTTGGATAATCCATAAAAAAGTTTAAGTTTTAAGATAATTCTAGGTTTATTACAACCAAGCATTACCTTAATGTTCTTATTTTTTAGATGATACAATGAACCCAAAAAAGAAAAACATAAGGCTGTACATTGTTTTAGGTTTAGATAAAATTTCGCACCAAAATTCACGAAAGCATAGAAACGTTGCTCTCACAACAAAATCCTTTCACTAAGAGACCATCAACTTTTCCTTTTAGCTCATTATGCTCTTTACGTCAATAATGGGGTAAATTAGGCAATTGGTAATCCAAATTGAGATCAGTAGCATATTAGACTTCACACAGAGGAATTAGCTCATCTACAACTTGTTTATAGATCAAATCTTGAAAATTCTCAACTAGCTAAGCAACTTCACCAAGAGCAACCAACTCGTCAAATTCAAAATGCTATTTCGTGGCTATATTATTTACAAAATAAAGGGCTAAGAATCAATAAGATAAAGACAATATATCATATGTTATTTTAGTGAATGTCAATATTAACAATTATCAAATAGTAAGATTGAAAAATAAAGTGATACTTAAGTGTTACAGGCTTAAATATATTGGATCTATCATATAGAAAAATGAGGATAGATGATGGTGTTTGTTCTAAATTGAAGAATAGTCAATTATAATAAAGAAGTGGGTTGAGAGAATTATTCCATAGGAGGATACCATGAAAATTAAAATGGTAAGAATGATTTTTGGCAAAATAGGAAGAATGAACAAATCAAAGCTTAGATTATAAATTGGTTAAGAGTAACATCTATTGGTGATAAAATGATTAAAAATAGACTTGGATAATGTACATAAACAATGAAGAATAAAAAAACACCCATTAGAACAATAAATAGAACTACTTTCTTAGAAAGAAGAACAATTGGAAAGAACAAGAAATTAACCTGAGGTAATATAGAGAGAATCTGCTCAAGAAAGAATATTAAATGAGCATTCATAAAGCATGCCCTAAATAGTTGGTATAATGATCCTTATGTTGGTGATTCTTCAGCTGCTACAACTAAGTGCCTAAACTAGGGCTGTCAAAATGGTTTGTTATTTGCATACAGTTCGTGTTCAATTTGTTAAGTAGCTCATGTTCGATTTGTTTGCTAAACAAACGAGCCGAACACAAACTAAAATTTGCTCGTTCGCGTTCGGCTCGCTTTGGCTGTCAAAATGATTGGTTGTTCGATTTATTCGCTAAGCAAACGAGTCGAACACGAACTAAAATTTGTTCATTCGCGTTGGGCTCGATTTGGCTCGAAATATATATATATATATATAAGCCGTTCGCCCGCTACTCTTTGCTAGTGCAGCCTAGCGTAAGTCACCTAGGGTCACGAGATCAACACCGCCAACAGTTCACAAATAAATATTTTGAGCTTGATATATAAACGATTCGAACGCGAATAATATTTTTGAGCTCAATATATAAACGAGCCGAGCCTAGACTCGCTCAAGCTCGACTCATTTACACCCCTAAACTTAACCTAAATTTTACAATTTGTAAATATAGACTTTGGGTTTGTTTGGGGGAGTAATCTGCTGATAAACAGATTATTCTGATAATCTGCAGATTATCAGAATAAACTGGTTTGTTGTTTGAGACAGCTTATTCAAAACAGCTTACTGAGAGCTGTTGTTGAATAAATGACTATTTTGCCTTTTTTTAGTTAAGCAGTTTGCAACATAACTGTTTCATATGACAGCACAGGCAACGATCACAGGGAGCCTGCCAAATTTCAAACGAAGGATCCCAGTAATACGAAGGATCAAAAATTTCAGACGGGAAATGGGTGATACCATAATTTCCCAACTCACCATAATTCATACCATCCCAGGCAATGACACAAATAGCATTTCTCTACAGGGAAGAGGAGATACCTGCGAAAATTTCAAACAACTTTCGATCCACCAACCTAATGCCAGACGGGAAATGGGGGAGTAGAGGGGTGCACGGGATCGAAGGGTCTGATCACAGACGAGATCGAGGAGCGGAGACGAGATCCGGGGAGTCTGATCGCAGATCTAGGGCAACGACGGCGAGACGGGACCGAAGGGCAACCGAGTAATAATCTATCCCTAAACGCGGAATGCAGGGTGATAGGAGCGGCGAACGATTTGGTGAATAATAGCATAAACCCTTACGCGCGTATTTTTACCGCCGGCCCAAACGCATTTTTCAAACGCCACCCCGGAGTTCCAAAAACGCCGAACGCAGGTATAAGCTGCGCCAAACGGACCCTTTATGTTCCAAAAAATACTTATTAATATCTGCATGGATGCACCATAAAGACCTACAAATAACCATTTGGAATACCTAGATAATGATAAAAAAACATAAAATCAAAATAAGCATCCAACACATGTTAGATACGTGTATAATCGCTGTGCACCCAATTTCAGTGAAATAGTGCATGTTAAATATGCTGCACAGTAGAGAAGCTTATGACCAAACTGGGACTCCCTGGAAGTGTGTAGAGTTCCTCTTATCATTTCTTTTAAATGCTTCATAGTCCACGTTTTTAGTTTTACCAAATATTTTGACTATGGTTTCCTTGCATTTAAGATCAAAGATCATAATCATTTTAAAATCCTAAGAAGCAAACCTCATGGTTGTATGTAGAAGAACTCTATAACATGTGATAAATCTCACTCGAACAAAGAAAAAATGATTCGTACCAATATCCTAATCTTCCCAAAATATCTCAGGTTTTTCAAAAACTAAATATTATATCTTCGGATTTGCGATGCAGTCAGAATATAAGAATTACGATATTATATCCAAGCTTGGTGGACTGCCAAATTTAAATAAGATAATCATCTCTTTCTTTGACCAAAATGGTCTCATAGTAAAATAAACCTCCAGCACAACCACATGAACATTTTTCAAAAACTAATTATTCAATTTTCGCAAACAAGATAATAAATTTAAAATATGTCAAGAACATGATCCGAACTGAAGAAAAAACGGCTCCCAACAAACCCAAGTAAATTGCAAGGAAAGAAAAAAAGCAGTAAGCGGAATTCTACCTTCTTATCCTTTATCTCACTGGACTGTATCCATGTCTTGATCTGATCTCGGTATCGCTGGAGCTTCTTGATCTCCTTCTTTAAATCGGCCTCAAACTTCTCCTTCTGATTTGCATTCTCCGTGTCGTACACCTTCACATACCCACACAAACAGCAGAAAAATCATCAGCATGCTCGTAAGTTGCAAAGCGTGGACGCAAAGGCAAAGCAGGCGTCATGAAACGCGGTGATAATAGAGAAGAGAGCTTGCGATGGACCTTGTTCCAGATGCTGTCGAAGACGTCGACACCCTCCTGGACCTTCTTCAACACCCGATCGATCTCACCCTGAAGCTTCCGGCTCGCCCCCATGGCGGAAAACCGACGGAGAAGATGCGGAACTGCGCCCGAGCATACAAAATGGAACTGTGTTTAGGGTTTCGGCCGGACAGCAGAGAAGCGTTGGAGACTGTAAATCGGAGAAAGTAGAAGAGAAGATGTAGAATCCTTTCGATCTCGTGGAAATGTAAATAAGTTCCACCGGAAAAAATAGAACCATTTCCTAACAAAAATTAATAAGAAAATTTACATAAATACCATTCCATACCTATCTATTTACATATTTAACCTTTAAATTTTAATTTTTTACATACATGACTTTTTATTTATACATAAAAAGATATTTAATTTATTTTAATGTTATAATAGTGATAATTTCTATGCAAATTAAAAGATTTTGATGATTTAAGTATAAAAAATAGAATTTATGTAAATACATATTGTTAACTAGATATATGTTTATATGAATAAGATAAGGGACATTAAAAAAGATTGTGGCGAGTTTGTTAATTAAACTAAAGGTGGAAACTATGGTGTCTTTACCTTAGAAGTAAAGCCATTCTTTATATTTTAAAATGCATACTACCAATGACATAGAATTTAGTGGATGCGACATCACTCGAGATATTTTTTGATGAAAAAATATTTCTTATTCAGATTAAAGTTCATCAAGGGCTTTGATCTTAGCAAGTTTATAGTTTACATTTATTTGATAGCTAACAAGTGCAATACACGAGTTTCTCACCCAGCACTCGTCATTCTAGGGTGCAGTCTCTAAGTATAGGATGTCGATCCTCTTGTCTATTTTTTAATAATGATGTGCATAGATTAGTTGGTGAAAATGTCTATCTCTCACACATCTTAAAGGTTGTCTGTGGATAATGAATGATCTCATAATGAGATCCTACGAATTTTCAAACAGGGCTTAAAAATCGATGGTGACGCATACTAGAGGAGCACAAATACCTCGAAATAAACTGATAAGAGGTACATTGTTGACACACCATTCACATGTTGTTCTTTCTTCTCAGGAAGCTAAACTCATGGACACTACAGGCTCCACACATCCACCTCAAGTCGCTAAGGCTAATGACAAACTTCAAACACTTGTACAAAACTTAACTCGACCTCGCGTAATAAGTGATAAGGTATGATGTTTAGAATGGGAAGAGTTCCCTTTGAGGTTTAAACGTCATTTCTCAGCTAGAAATAGTTTAAAAGTAAAATTTTCATTAACAGAGATAATCCACCAAAATTGTATTAAAATAGGGTTCATGCTTCAAAATATTGATGTTTATGACGGGACTTTTGACCTATACGAATATACTAATCACTTCACAACCATCGTGCACATACAACAAGTTTCTAATACACTCATTTATCAATTTTTTTTCTCGTAACTCTTAAAGGTCATGCACGTACTTGATTTTATTCACTTCCGGAAGGAGGGCATATTCTTACTTTTGATAAGCTCGTCAAAGTATTCGTAGAGAAATTTATTTCAAATTGAAGAATTATCAAAGACTCCTCCCACCTTTTATGATATCTGTCAAAATGAGTGAGAGTCATTAAAGGGCTATTTTCTGAGATTCTCCATTGAAGTTTGCCAAATCCTGTGAGTACATGTTGAATTACTTAGAGTTATGCTCTCGAGGGGACGACATCCTGGTCACTTTTACTTGTCTTTAATGTAGAAGACAGTTCATTCATATGCTTGCCTCATCTATCGTGTTGAGGCGTACATTATTGTTGACAATGCTATTAATAAACATAAAATATAATTTGATCCGCAATTAAGAAAGCACAAAAAGAACCCCACATATACTCCTCAAGCATCTCAATGAAAGAAGTACGAGCCATGGATAAACCCTAGTTTACCCCCTCGATCGCAAAGATGTGAATCTTGACCGGAGAAGGAGTGAACAATATGTAACATGTCACTTGTCAACATCTTAATAGTGATTCAGGATAATGAAACTCTTAAGTTGCCACATTCATTGAGATTAAATATGGGTATTCAAAAGTAATATTAATTATTTGTTTCATCAATGTCATGGCCAAAATATTGAAGCATGATTTCAAGTAAAAGTAGATATCAAAAAGCTAATCCGATGATGGCATTTAAGCTAATTGATTCAAAACAATATCCCCCCCGCACCAATAATACCTTTATTGGGGGACATCAAACTCACAAGCAACATTGGTAGAATCATAAGACTATTCATAAAATTACAATATTCGCGAGAGGACCATTGTCAGCCAAGAAAGCTCTTATTGATGCATATGAAGAGCGTACATTAAAGAAATCTTATGTGAGCCGCTACATCACCTTCAATGAATTAGATCTCGAGGAACCAAATCTCTCACAAAGAACCTATTATTATATAGAATCTGCGACCCTTGTTATACTGTAAACAAAATCTTAGTCAATGGAGAGAGTTTAATCAACATCTTATTCTACTCAATTTCTTTGGTCTGGGTCTGACCATGGAAAAACTACTATATATTGTTGGACCTTTCTATGACCATGATAATTGACCGTCCAATGCGTTTGTCGTTGAGTTGGAAATACATAGAAATGGAGTGGTGGGTATGTAAATCTTCCTAAAAATGTTTGCCAAAAAGGGAAAAATATTACATCAGGACTTCTGATGCATTCGAAGTCTAACGGTGGGATTCCATTTGTCAAGTGGGCTCCACAATTTTTAACACTGGTCAATACCAGTGTATTACGGTGGGTCTCACTTGACACGTGTCGCCCCACCGTTGAATTCCGAACGCAGACTGCGTTAGGAGTTCTGACGTAACATTTTCTCGCCCTTCATTGTGGTTTTTTTTTATAACAAAGAGTGATTAATCATAAAATATGTATCTTGAATCTTTATTTTTGACAAAAATAACATTCTATTACTATAAATTTTTCAGTGGTATCAATAACTTATTCTCACCTATAATTATTAAGAAATAATTTAAAAAAATATAATCAAATAAAAAATATAATAAAGGTAAATTTACATAAATAGCACCCAATCATTATGTAATTACCTGTCTAACACCCAAACTTTGCTTTTTTACATCTAAAGCATGCTACCTATATAAACAGTGTAATCCATTTTTTCATACATGGGAAAGGATGCTCAGCATGCAAAAATCAAAGTTTGGGTGAGACAAGTAAATGCACAAGAATTGGGTGGTATGTATGTAAATATCTGAAAATAAAATTGTCAAAAATTACCCTGATAATCCAAGGGGGAAAAACCAAATCTTTTGCCATGTATAAATCCACTGAATTTGGAGCCTTTATATGGAAAAAGTCTGGATATCTTTTGCAATGTCTGCCCAAAACTTATTTATTCTTGTTGAACAATAATAAATTAGAAATTTATTTTATTATTCCATGAATTATTTCCAAATATAAAAATGGTAGTATTTATGAAATGTTCAAGAAAAAGTGAGGGCCTGTTTGAGACCAAATTTATTTTTGTTTTTTGTTTTTATTTTTTTAATATATATATTTATTTAGTTTATTATGCACATGTTTTTAATTTTAAAAATAAATAAGTTTATTTTCAAAAGTAGTCAATATTAATTTTGAGTGTTTTTAAAAATAAATTAATTTATTTTCAAAAGGGAAAATATATTTTAGTTTAAATAAAAATAAATAAAATAATTTAAAATAAGACCTCAATTTTAGAAGATTAGTACTCTTTAATTATTATTTTTATAGTAAAAATGATGTCTTAAACCAACTTCAATAGTGGACATATTTAAACAAGTAGGACCATATACAATATTCTTATTTGGTACAATTATTTCATTTTTGTTTTTTTTCATGATGTTATATGTCTATTATGTAATGTGCTAGGTTGTAAAGGTATTGTATATGCATATAATTATGTATTAATTAATTTATTATAATTTTAAATTTTGTTAATGATTGTGTGAAATGCGTGTTAATTATGCATGTGTCGATTCTGAGATGTGTTCTTAATGCATGTGTTACTCAATTATTAGGAAAAAAATTGCGTACGATAGACGTACGCAGCACTGCGTGTGATTTAAAGGTTATACCGAGGGTACAAGGGGGTTATATCTGCGGTATAATCCCTTGTAACCTTGATATAACTTTCTGTAACTTATATGTAACATACTAATAAATTCTTAATATATAATAACAAAAGCGTGGAACTTATTTGTAGGTTACACTAGGTTACATGGAGGTTACAAGAGGTTATACCGCAGATATAACTCCCTTATACCCCCCGTATAACCTCAAAATAACCTCAAAATCGCACGCAGCGCTGCGTATGTCTATCGTACGCAATTTTTTTCCGTCTGGTAGATAATTAACATATTAGATATGTTTGAAATGATTTAGTGATAATCATTATTCCATTTTATAATTTTCCCAACAATTTAAATATTTTTATTCATTGTCATTGTAGTTTAACACAAATAAGTCGTCATAACTCAATTTCACTATGAAATAATTATAACAATCAATAATATACCATCACCAATATTGTAGGCAGAGACATAAATAAATTATTCAACTATTATCAGCTTGACTGGATTTATGATAACAAGTGAAGGTGATCCCCGTATTGAAATCCTTGATAAATGCAGTTTGATAGGAGTCATGTTCGTAATTTCAAACACAAGTTCTCTATAAGTACATATTAGTTTGACAATCTTATTCAAAGTTCAAAAGCCAAAACTTTTCAAAGGGTCTGTTTGAGGCCACGGTGTAGCACCGCACCGCAGTTTTGCTAAAATGTGTTTTGACATGTCTTTCCAAGGCCACAACTAGATAAATTTTACATACTTACCATAGAGTTTTTATGTATTTACATATGCATCACCTAAATTTTGATATTTACATTTATATCATTTTAGTGTTATAAACACAAGTATGAAAAATATCAAATACACTTTTTAAAATTATCAACAATGAATTGATGTAATGTTAGAACTTTAATGATATGTATATAAATATTAAAATTTGTATGTATGTAAATATATAAAAAATGTGTGGTATATATACATACATACATACATACATATACATACATACATATATACATACATACATACATACATATACATACATACATATATACATACATACATACATACATATACATACATACATATATACATACATACATACATACATATACATACATACATATATACATACATACATACATACATATACATACATACATATATACATACATACATATCAAAGAAACAATTAAACAACACAGAAAGCCAACACCTGTCCCTTCTACCACATCGCTCCAATAAACTGAAGATCTAAACCGTGTCCCCTTTCCCCAATTACATTCGACCCTGTCAAGCACGCAGAAGCTGAGAGAGAGAGAGCAACACAGAGAACAGAAGAAACGCCGTTAACGCGTCCTTAAAACCGAAGGCTCCTCCTGTCTTTCACAGACAGAACCTCCCCCTCTCCCTCATCTTCTTCTCCTCCAAAGCTCCATGCCTCCAAATCATGCCCTTCTTCCCAAAATCCCACCTTTCTGCCAAACTGTTCTTCTCCATTAGCTCTGAAACCCCTGTTTGAATGGCTATTGCATTCCTCCACAAAGCCCACTGCTTTTTCATAAACCTCTCTTTCGTCTTCCTGCTCTTCTTCTTCTTCTTCTTCTCCTCCCTCGCATCTCAGAAACAATCCATTCTTCTTTCCTTCTCTCCTTCCCCAAACCCCAACGATTGCAGATCACTGGAATTACTCAACGGCGCCAAAACCAAATGTTTATACCTCGAAGCCAGCCATTCATGCGACACTAACGGCTACATCAACTACCTCTACATCTTCTACTGCGTTTTCGGCTTCTCTCCTCCTCTCGGCCTCATCATCCTCGTTCTATGGCTTCTAATTCTCCTCTACCTGCTCGGAAACACTGCTTCGCACTTCTTCTGCCCTTCTCTCGAGAACCTCTCCCGCTTGCTCAACCTCTCTCCGACCATCGCCGGCGTGACGCTTCTTTCTCTCGGCAACGGTGCGCCGGATGTGTTCGCCACCATCGTTTCCTTCGACGGCGCCGCCGCGGTGGGTCTCAGCAGCGTTCTCGGCGGAGCCTTCTTCGTCTCCAGCGTCGTTGTGGGCGTCATCAGCATCTGTTGCTCTTCCCGCCGCCGGGTGGTGGCCGTCGATTGCATGGGGTTCATCAGAGACCTCTGTTTCATTCTCATCGCCCTCTTCTTCCTCCTTCTAATCCTCTCTTTCGGGAAAGTTTACATCTTTTCATCACTAATCTTCGTTTCGCTGTACATTCTCTATATTATCGTGGTTTCCACGAGCGATTGTTGCAGGAAGGAGCTGGAAGAGCTGGGAGCTCCTTTGTTGGAGTCTATTGAAGTGGAGCAAACCACTGTGCAGACTCAGGAGATCAAACAAGTTGTAAAGTTCTCTCCTTTATTAAATTGGGCACTGTTCTTAATCGAGCTTCCACTCTATCTCCCAAGAAGATTAACAATACCAGTTGTGACAGAAGAAAATTGGTCAAAACCATTTGCAGTATCTTCCATGATTCTAGCACCAAACCTTCTTGCAATTCTATGGAATTCTCGAAAAGGGGACATGGATTTAGAAGAAAGCATCTTAGTCTTCCTCCTCGCAGCCTTGATCGGAATGGTTCTAGGCATCATTGCCATCAAACAAACTGAATCCTCCCGACCACCAAAGCTTCTGCTTCCATGGCTGACAGCAGGATTTCTGATGAGTGTAGTCTGGACTTACTTAGTGGCAGGGGAGCTGGTTTCTCTTCTGGTATCTATAGGACATATACTTGGAATAAGTCCATCAGTGCTTGGAGTTACTGTTTTAGCTTGGGGAAACTCTCTCGGAGACCTTATATCTAATGTCGCCATGGCTGTAAATGGAGGAGAGAATGGAACTCAGATTGCTATTGCTGGATGCTACGCAGGTCCAATCTTCAATATATTGTTTGGATTAGGACTGTCACTCGTTCTCTCCGCATGGGCTTCTTATCCTTCTCCTTTCCTGGTTCCTAACGACTCCTCTCAGTTTGTGATTATAGGATTTCTTACCGGGGGTTTGCTGTGGGCAATGGTGATTCTGTTGAGGAAGAAGATGAAGCTGAGTAGGAGTTTGGGTGTTGGTCTCATAGCTATTTACTCCTGTTTTCTTTGTCTGAGACTTCTGGGGAGCCTGCAAGTGATTGAATTGTGAGTTTTCTAACATGTTTAGGATTCAGAAATTATTAGTGGAGCTTAGCTCATGATTGTATTATATGATGATTTGTGTATTTTTATTCTGTATCATCTCGCTGTGAAGTTAATGAAACCATGAATGGATTAAGTTTAATACATGTAGAAATTTGTGTGTAAACATGACATTTTACAGTGATTTGAAGTGTGAAGAGTTTGATATTTTACTGTCAAATGAATGACATTGTAGAAGTGGTAAAGCAGTTTGAACAGTATGAAAATGAAGTGCTGAAATTCGTAATTTTTGTTTTGTTGTTTTTGTTTTGTGAAAATCACTGTTGTTATGGTGAGAAAATGACAGAAAGATTGATTCATTTGGAGTGATAATTCTTATGGATGACAATGATACAATTTCTTAATATTACTGCTGAAAATGATAGTTTTTTTCAGTTCTTATACGAGTAATGTTTCTTTATTTCTTCCTCATACTCAACAAAAAAGTTTTAAATGCAGACAGTATTAGATATATAGAATATATGAGTAAAGGTCTTTTGTTGAGACAGAATGTAATTTTGGTAATAGTAGTTCTAGTGATAAAGGTTTCGTTTGGGACAGTTTATAAAAATGTCGTTTTATCATTTATAAACTGTATTTGAACAGTTTATCCAAAAATGAAGTTGGTTTTTATACTAAACGCAGAACGCGGGTTGAATCTTGTGATCCGCATTTTCAGATAATTGGCTTATCAACTCGCGGTTCGCGTTTCTGAATAAGCGGTTTATTTGGATAAATATAAACTGCCTCAAACGCACCCAGAGTTGTAACTATGAGTGATAAAATCATTAAAAGTTGTGAACGTTTTAGATATTACACGTCTATTGTTTAAAGTAACAGTGATATAAATGAAGATGTTATTAGTAGAATTTAAGTTGGTTGGTTGAAGTGAAGGAATCGTTGTGCTTATTGCATGATAGAAAAGTACCACTCAGACTTACAAAAAACTTTTATATGATGGTAGTGAGACATTGAATGTTTTATGGCACAAAATGTTGGCTTTTTAAAAGGGCATAAAACAAAGTTAAATCTTCCTGAGATGAGAATGGTTAGGTGCATGAGTGGACAGACACCTAGAGACCAATTGCGAAATGAATCTATCCGTGAAAGGGGTTGGTGCAGCTCCAACGAGATACACGATTCGAGAATGTCGTCTTATATGGTTTCGTCGCATTAAATGTCAACCATCTAATGATCTGACAACAAGAGTAGAGTTTTATATTCGACTTATGTTAAGCAAGACAAAAGGTTAACCTAAAAAAGATGGGTATATTGTATAAAAATATTTGATTTTTTTCCCATTGTACTTTATAAAACTAGTACAATTTTATTACATGTATCTCCAACCAAATTATTCAGTATTATTACAATCAAAATTAGAAAATATGCAAATTGCATATTTGACTTTTCCAATATAAAACCATACTTTTGGATAAAATTGTAATTTAATAAATTTTCTTATCCAATCAATTTATAAAATGGCTTTCTTGACTCATAACGTGTGAACATACTACCAAAAAATATTGACATTATTTAAATAATATATCACATCAAAACTTTATTATTATCTAACACAGAATAAGTTAATCGTTCATACTCCTGTTTGGTTTAGCTCAACCATCAGTTTAATTTTATAATAATTTTAAGGGACATTTACATACATAGCCCCCAATTCCTGTAAATTTACATACCAAGCCCTTAAAATTTATTTTTTACAGCTATACCACCCTGATCACAGCAAAATGTATCCCCTATTTGATCGGTAAGGTGGCATATATGGTAAAAAAAAAAAAATTGTGTTAAAAATGTAAATGTTTTTGCCGAGACTTACTGTAATATTGGTAAAAAATTTACGTGCGATAGACGTACGCAGCGCTGCGTACCGAGGGTACAATTGGGGTTATACCGAGGGTAGAAGGGGGTTACATCCGCGGTATAACCCCTTGTAACCTACCTGTAACCTAAAATAAGTTTCACGCTTCTGTTATCAGTTATTAAGAATTTATTAGTAGGTTACATGTAAGTTACATAAGGTTACAGAGAGGTTACAAAGGGGTATAACAAGGGGTTATACCGCGGATATAACCCCCTTGTACCCTCGGTATAACCTCAATATCATACGCAGCGCTGCGTACGTCTATCGCACGCAAATTTTTTCCGTAATTATTATGGGCTTGTAGATGTATCGTCATTTTCCATTAAAATTTGATTTATAGTTTTCTTTTTTAAAAGAAAATTCAGGTTTAGTTTCATCTGCAATTGCTTTAAATATATTAATATAAAAATAAGGGACATTTAGCAAGATAATGCACATTTATAATGTATTTACATATCTCAGACCATCATTTTTATATTTACACACATAACACTAAAATCTTTCATATCAAATAACAAAAGCACACATTATAAATGTGAAAAGCATCTTTTCGTGAAATATAAAAACGCATTTACATGCATAAGGTTAAAGCACCGATATGCTATGTTTGTAAGAGAGGTTATTCAAAGGATACTGGAGGGTTATATTCGCGTTACACCCTCTCTAGCATTTCTGTAACCCACTTGTACTTTCTAGTAAGTTTTGAATTTTTGTTTTCATATATTTATAGGTTACACGTAGGTTACATGTTATGCATGTAAATGTCCCAAAAAAGTACAAGTAGGTTACAAGAATTCTAATTGTTTTAAGGATTCTAATCGTTTAAAGAAAATCAAAATTTGGTGGAACCAACAAAAAATAAATAAAAATGAAATTAGACAATTTACATACATACCACATATTTTTTATATATTCACATATATGACGCTTAAACTAATATATTTTCAATTATAACAGACTGGTGTCATAAACATGAAAATATATATTTTACATTTAAGACGTGGTAATAAGTATTATTATTTATGTGATTTAAAAGCTTTAGAAGTATTGCATGTCCATATAAAAGTAGGTGTTGACATGTAAATACACAGGAGTTGCGTGTTATGCATGTAAATGTCCCAAAAAGATTTTCAATCATTTGATAATGTGTGGACATAAAGAGTGTATATGTACTTCATGGACTTTCATTTCATGAATTATTTGTAATAAATAATTCATCTCAAGTAGATGAATATTTTTTTTTGGTAAAACTAACTTTCCATCATCCTTATTTTATAGCAATCCTACACTTATTAGTGTCTATTTTGGAATACTTTCTGTCTGTTTTGCATTTCAGACCGTCATCATAGTTTTATTTGGGAAACAACTTTCTTGTTGTTTCTTAAAAAATTATGTGGTTTGAAGTTGTTTTTATTTTCAAACAGATCTGTTAAATAGAAAAATTACACAAATTTGCTTCAGGTGTCGATTTGGACAGTTAAAAAAGTTTGAGTGGGCCCCACTCTAATAACAAAACAAACAAAAGGGTGTATTTCAGTGATTCAGATTGGACACCTGATGCAAATTTGAGTCAGGTGTCCGCACGCGATAATCGCTTGTTAAAATGCAGTGGCTGTAAAAATATTGTTGTATGATTGCTTTTGAAAGAAATACATATTTATAATTCTCATGACAGTTTTCCAAGAAGTTGATTTTCTCGCCACAATATTACGAGTATATTTTAAAAAAAAATTATAAGCACCATAAACAACACCTTATATTGTAACTTTTGTCGAATAATTCTATATCAATCATAAGACAATCTCTACGATTATTTTTGTAATACTTTGAACCATCTTTAGATTGAGCAATTATATAAGACGATAAGGCGGGCCAAAGCGGGGGTGCTTTCGGGGCTATTAAAATAAAAGAAAGGGGAGAAGGAGAACCATTCATCAATCATCTTCATCATTAAAAAGGAGGGGGGTGAGATGGAATAAAACTATAAGAAATAATTGGATTAAGAGTTCGGAACAATGTGGGGCCATTTTGCAGTGAATCAGCTTGCCTTTCTTCCATATTTTTTAATTCAAATTTCATGGTAGAGAGAGAGAGAGAGCAATAACTAAGTAAATAATATTTGCTTTTATATATATATATATATATAAATATA